TCACCCAGGCCGGGATTTACGGCCCAATGATACAAACAAGATCTCAAGAAAAGTCGACCGCAAAGTAAAATCGCAACATTTTTTTTTGTAAGGACCGTTAGATATTTGTGGGGTGTGGGGTGGTGGTGGGGGCGGGCTTGTGTCACGCCCTTCCCTTACAATCGTGCCCAGGGCTGTTGCCCCTCCCATTCCCAGTTTAAAGCCATAAGGCAACTTGGCAAGTCTACCCTAAGCGTTCTGTTTATATATTGCACGACGTAAACACCAAGTTCAAAAAGTGGGTCAGCTACACTCACGTGCGGGTGAGTCATAACTGAATTGTTCGGACCAATTGTCAGGCGGTACCGGGCTGTTCGCGGGAGTTTTGGCGATCCAGTTAGTACCCTTGGACCCAATAATAGTAATAATCGTTGACATTGAATCTCGAACTTGACAATTCGGTCGCGGAATGTCTGACTGCAATACGAGTAATTGTTTTTATTCAATTCGTCACAGGGCCACCCAGATGCGTTATTTCATACAATCGCCTCCTCGACTGTTTGAACTCATGTTCGTGAGTGTCCGTCCTGCCCAACATGACGTAATACTCGGCGTCAGTGTACTAAACCAATCAGTGATCAGTGCTGCAACGTGATCACGTGGGCGTCTTCTTTTTTCGCTACTCAATTATGGTCTGTGTTCCTCGTGATCTATAATTGCGAGCTTCTATAAAAGGCGCAGCATCCCTGGATCAGCTACATCATTTACAGTGACATCATCCTACCCAGAGGTTCATCACACATGACAATATAGTGGCTTAGCAAAGCAACAGCTTGACCACCACACACAACCATCCTCATCATCGGAGAAGAAACACCGCATCATTGTTTAAGACTGCTACACTGGTAAGTACACTAGAACTTTATGCGAGGGACCTGTTTACAGTGCGGTACTTGCAGTGTTGTGGTCCAGACATTTTGAGACTTCTTCTTTTCGATCTATAGATTACAAAAAAAAAAAAAAAAATGGCAGCCCCGATATTCATTCACTATTGATATTTGACTATTAATGAGCTTGTGTCTACAAATGTAAAAATGATGAATAAAGTCCAGTAATTAAACTTCCCCGACCAGATTTTATTCTCATATTGTAAATTGGGTCTGAAATACACTGAAAAACTATGGAACATCAATTTGATGGCGATAAAAAAAAATGTTTTTCTAGTGTCCCCCCCCCCCCCCCCAGTTTTACCCCGAAATATAGAATTTCTTTTACCGAGCAATACAAAGGTTTTCACGTAGATGTGCATCGAACACACAAATCCGACCGCGTTCAGTTTATAGGGGAGAAATTACTTTGCAAGTTTGGAATAACTTTACAACCCGACAATAATAAGGCGGATATGAAGCCCGGGAAGGGACAGGGTGGATTTTTTTTTTGGAATTTCCTAATTCGTTCGCACGAATTACTAATTCGTTCGCACGAATTGCTATTTCATTCGCACGAATTCCTATTTCGTTCGCACGAATTACTGGAGTCATTCGTGCGAACGAATTGGTAATTCGTGCGAACGAATTACTGGAGTTTGCTAATTCGTTCCCACGAATTAGTAATTCGTGGGAACGAATTGGTAATTCGTTCGCACGAATTAGTAATTCGTTCCCACGAAATACTAATTCGTGCGAACGAATTACTAATTCGTTCCCACGAATTAGTAATTCGTGCGAACGAATTAGTAATTCGTGCGAACGAATTAGTAATTCGTGCGAACGAATTAGTAAACTCCAAAAAAAAATTCCACCCTGTCCCTTCCCGGGCTTCATAGGCGGACCTTACGTGCGTACAATTAGGAGGCGCAAAAACAACCCACAATGAACCCCTTTTACAAAGGGTATAAAGGTAGTAATAGAATATTCCTCTAAACAGGCCTATACAGGGCACACGAAATAATTTTTGGTTCGTTTTTGGAATAAATGTGAAGATTTTTTTTCCCAGAACACGATGAATCCATTTGAAAAAGGTTGGACTTGAACTTGTGCACGGTTATGACACTTTAAAGAATAAAAACAGTATAACAGCTGTTTCTATAAACTTCATTTTAAGTTGAGTTTATAACATCCGTCGAAAATTGCTTTTGGGCGGCCAGGAGAGAGCAAGGATTCAAGGAAACAAAATGGCGTATATCGCGTTTGGGGAAAAAAATCATTTATTGCAAGGTTCATGGAAACAGACACGAAAATTGAACAGCTTCAACATGCCTTTGCTTTTACCATTTAAACCTAACTTCGCCATGCCGCAGGAATTCACAGCACTGCGCGATCATGTGTGAAAAGAGCACTAAAACGAGTGACAACAATAATCGTTTCCACTCAACGCCAATCTCCGCATGAGGCGACTTTGTCAAAACTAGGACGCTTGACAATGCTAAATAATTACTAGGCTGCACTGCACCAACGTGAAATGTATTAATAACTGAAACTGTAGTAGCAAATTAGCAATGAAGCCCGATCATGTTGTGGAACGAAACTAAAGTAGTTTTTCAATTAATTTAAATTTGATACAAGTGTGAAATGAACCGAAAAATCTGTACTTAATATTTTGACTAAACCAATTAACAGGTAGTTTCTCGAGTAAGGAATGACATTTTTTGAAAAATGAAGAATGAAGTGCAATAAAGATGTTTAATTTCAAATTATTTGCAAGTACGAAGCTCATGTAGTGTCCCTATAGGGTTGTAAGAACTTGTCGTCTGAATTTGTTGTTAGGCCTATGTGAAGCAAATTTGTAGCAACGGGGTCCGCTCGAGAGTCCGACGCCTTATAGGCCTAAGTCCGAAGTTTCGGACTAATTAGGCGTCGGACTTATGAGGCGTCGGACTCATGAGGCATAGAATTTATTTATTTCCCCTCATATAAGTCCGACGCCTCATAAGTCTGAAATTTCGGACTTTTGAGGCGTCGGACTTATGAGGCATAAATTCCGCCTCATAAAGGTCCGACGAAATTTCAGACTTATGAGGCGTCGGGCCTATGAGGCGTCGGACTTATAATACGGCCCCGTAGAAACAATTGTTTAATGAAGTTATTGCAGTCAATATTGTTTCCTTCGCAACTTAGCGCTTCGATCGCTAGCTAGCTGCGAATGGTCCCCACCTAGCTCACCCAGACACCAGATTATATCCCTGCGGCTATTTAACAAGTTCATGCAACCTTATCGCGAATCAGTCAATGTTTGCTAAGAGTGTGTGTACACAACAACGTTCATGTAGATGGTTACAAATTGACAACAGCGGTCATGTAAAGTGGGGCATCTGCGCTCACGTGTTTTGCGTAGTTGAGGATTTGTGGGCCAAGTGGGCGTGACCCAAGTTCAATCGTAAACAAAAAGATGAACTATGCGCTCCAGCTTTACGATCTTGATCATTGTTGAATCGGATGTCAATAATATCATTGTGGATACTGACTTTATATTGGACCTCCCATCCTATGACTTAGTGGTTTGCGTAAAACCCTCAGACCCAACTGTCAACGTCATCAGTGACGTTATATGTGACTCAACCAATCACCAGCCAGTGCCGTGATAATATGGTGCGGGAATGCAGTGCATTGTTTAAACTGGTAGGGCGTTGCTTCTCAAGCGGTCTAACTCGTGATCTCGGCTAGGCCTTCTATAAAATAGGGGCATCCCTGGCCTGGATCCACTCAACATAACTTATAGCCCTTGACTAAGGCTTGTTCCCGCTACCGCACACAGCGCGCGCCGCGACACACTAGTTGTACGATGCCGTTAGCCTCAACGACCCTTGCGTGTGCTTTGTGTGCATGTAACTGATAGCCTTTGTCAAGGACATAACTTACAAACAGTCGATCCTAATTATATATTGCATCCTATTATATATTGTACCGCGTCTCGAATTAATCAGTGGATCATTGACGAAATTGGGACTTTGCGAAAGGATTCAGTGACCGTCATCATGCACTCGGAACCTGTCTCAGTCACCGAAGATTGAATAAAATAAGTGCAGCATCACTTTGAACCCGCTACAATGGTAGGTTCGTACCCTTGATTTTTTGGTCGACTCACCCTTGCACAAATGCGAGCAAAACAAAACTGCGTGTGGACTTGACCTCGAAATTCTGACCATTCAGCGGGCGCCTTGTATCGGGTCTTTGGCGACCCGTTGTAGGATTACAAAAACATGTACGCCAAATTGACCAATCAACAGCTTAATTAGTCCACATTTCTGATCGAAATGATGCCACAATTTCTAACCTCGAATTCGATTGGCTGGCGCGCGGGGTCGCATAAAATTTGCATTTAGATATAAGGCCAAAAAATATATATATTCGGTCTCTCTTCCGGAATTGACGCGGCGACGCGGCTTTTTTTTTTCTTCAACCTTGATTGTACAGACAAGGTGGGGTACTATTTTGCTTTTTTCGTGTCCTCATGTACATTGGTGTCCTCCATAATTTGCCTTGGTGCTCTCAATCATTTGCCTTGATGCAATTTCCCATTCCTTGGTGCTCTTTGGTAAAAAAAAATTGAGGAGGTGCGGCAATAGAGGGCGCTGTTGGAGCTACCGCGGAACATTTTGGAAAAACAAAAGATTGACGCGCATGATTTAAATCGACGCGCGCGCTGACCAGAGACCGACTTATATTTTTTTGGCCTTATATCAGACCTTGGATATAAATCAGATAAGTTTTTACACACCGGACCAAATATTCTTTTTTAATTGTAACGTTACTTGTTCATGTTCCCGTCCTTTCTCGTCTTCGTCATTGTCATTACTAGATCTATAGACACAAAAGCACCGTGTTTTTGCTATTTTCATCCCTGCAATTATGTTAATATTAATGCGACAATATCAATCACCATACGGTGGTACCCTATTATAACACTCGAACCTTGCGTGGACGATCGATCGCTTGCGCTTGCAATGATGAAAGCGTTCGAATAGGCGGCACTATCACTCAGTGCGAAAAATATTACGACATAATTTCTATGGGAGAGAACTCTTGAGGGCGTTGCTTATGACACATCGCGCTGTTTTTGAAGAGATTCGAGACTTCAAGTTCAAGATGTTTGCGTCGTTTTTGAGGTCAAAATTATGGATTTGGTTTAGACTCCTGTGTACATTTGGTGCATACAATGTATCAAGTAAGTTGACTCTTTTTATGCACATTCTCTTTTCTGCTTGGACTTTTTAGGGCTACGAATTCGAAGTGCCAATTTCCGGACAAGTAGACTGACATTGCCATAATGTCATGAATGTTGGCGATCGTGAAGCTTGAAGTGTAGGGCCCCTGTTTTGTTTTGATCAAATTAAAGTCAAAAATAATTACCTTTTTTGACTTTGGGTGCTGATAATCAGCATCCAGACTCTAAGCGGTCTTAAACAGAGTAATAAAAACCTCTCGAGCACACATTTATTCCCTTATTAAATTGGCAGTGTATATTTTGCCGGAGACGGCAAACCTTTAGTAAACGTTAGTTTGCCGGATATGCACTGAACATGCGCAGTTACTGGTTTTTTGTACTTAAACATTTTCCGGTGTCAAGTTTTAGTCTGGCTCCATGCCAAAATTATCGTTGTAACCTCGTATTCACAAGATGGGATTCAGACCATTTTATAATTTCGGACTTTATTTCCCTTTTAAAAAAAAATCCTCCAGAGCCACAAATCTGAAAAAGAAAATGTAATACTCTGCAAAAAATGTTTGAGACATGTTAAAATAATAAAAGAAGAATATTCTTATTTATTTGGGGATGAGAAAAAAAATTTTTAAATGTGGTGCGGTCGGAATCGAACGCGAGTCATCCCGCTTACTAGAGCCTTTGCTTAACCATTACACCAAACGTGCTGCACAACTTTTGGTGGGAATTTAATACATCTTATAATTCAGCCCTATTTTAAAGAGTACAGCGCCCTCTGTTGATATGGATTGCCGCCGGCAAACCTTTAGTAATCGTTAGTTTGCCGTCATTACCTCCGGCAAAATATCCACTACCTATTAAATTAGGATTAGGCCTAAAAGAATTGACACCTTTTTTCGGTTTTTGTAATTTTGATCAGTTTTTCTTACCTTTTCGAAAATTTGGGACTCTCAATACTGATTACTGTGTATGACTTTATTCAGTATAACTATGAGCATGATGAGAGCCCCAAAACATCTTATACTGTGCTGCTTTATAGTGCTTAAAGTTAAACAAAATGAGTGTGCATTAAATGTGCAATTTCCAAGCTTCTTACTCGCTACAGTTTCCTCAAAGTTCCTCGAAACTTGCGTCGCTAAGTACATTGTAAGTTGCTGTTGTGAGCATTGCATCACTGAAAATGCAGCTGAAAAAAATGTTGCAACCTGACGCCACTTTTTTTTCTTCATTTATCATCTTAGTGAAGGTCGTTCAGTGCTAAAGAAACAATTTCCAATTCTGTTAGAAAATACTTAGAAAAGGTTCCTGACTCTCCATAGACTTATAGTACACAACCGCTGAAGTGACGTCAGGTTGCAACATTTTTTTCCCAAAATGACACCTCAGCTAAAAACATTTTCATTGATGAAACAAGCGCCCTCTTGTAGATCTATACATCTTCACACCGTAGAAAGGCGTTTCGGGCACCAGAGTGAGTAATAGATAGGAAGGGTTGTTTTGCGCAGAAGGCATTTTTGGAATAATAAAAACACTTCATGGACCAAAAAAAGAGGGCCCATAACTACACAATCTCCCGTACAGTTATAAAATGGCACCAGTGAATTACTGTGGAGTGTGGAAGAACAACTCTTTCAAACGACTGGTTTCAATAACTTTGGACTTAATTTGAACATATTTACAGTAGAGACACACCAAGACTTTGCTACTGGAGTTGAGCAGTTGCATTCAGCATTATGGCAGACTTTGGGCAGCAGCTTCGGTATCTTATTCACCGAAACCTGCTGCTGAAAAGAAGAAACAAGAAACAGTTGTACCAGGTAAGAATTTTGGTAATGTGTACTTCAGGACCCCTATCCTATGCATTGTGTCCCCCCTAAAAAAAAAGGTAACCTGCAAACGCACTTTTGAAGAAACATTGTGAACACAGCCAGACATAAAACTTTGTCCAACATTATTTTACATACCATTTTCAAAACAATGAAACTCGGTGATGCATGACCAGATGTGTGCATCCAAGATATCAATGGAAAGCTTACAACCCACAGTTTATGATTTTAACCATAATTATGGTCATAAAGTTCATAGATTGTTCATAATATCCCTTTGTTAGTGGGTTATCTTTGTATCAGGCATGCAACTTTTCCTCGGATCCGCTGATTTCCTCGTATTTTACTTCTCATAAATATGCCATTACACATTGAAAAGCACTGCACAAAGTCTTGTGTGGTTTAGAATTTCCTTGTTTTTTTCTAAATTCCCAGTTGCATGCCTGCTTGTATAAGACGACAAAATTCATTTTTTATCTAATTGCACTCACAAAAGTAGCTGGTGATGTTGAAAAGCAACAGGAATGTTTTGGACAGAAAGTTTAGTGGATTTACACACACAGGTATGCAACTTTTCCTCGGATCAGCTGATTTCCTCTTTTTTTTTTATTCCCACTTCAGCCATTCAAAATAGAAAAACACTGTACAAAGTCTTCTGAATTTTTGAATTTCCTCTTTTTTTATGACACACAGTGTGGGTTAAAATGACGGCAATGACGACAAAACACATGACAGAAAGGAAGATAGCGACAGTGCCAGCTCAGCTCAATGGACAGTGAATTTACAAAACTTTGTATTCAGCGCGCCCCAAAATCCCTGCAACTTCTTTTTTTTGTGAGGCCCTATTATAGCGTCGGCGTAGAAACACGTACCACCATTATTTGTATACCATTTTAAAGCTTGGAATCAAACACTTTGGTTTGCAGATACAATTTATGGGTTTGTTTTCAATCTTACCAGGAGCTGCTGTTTCCGTTGCTGTTTGTCATCCTGATTGGCTACATGGGCAGCAACTTAAACACGGAGCGCTATGATCCCCTGGGCTACGGTGCGTTTCACAGTTACAAGCTGCTGCAGCCCAACGGCAACGATTCTTTCCTGCCGGACGCCAGCAAGGCGTGGGCGTTCACTCCCAACACGACCCAAACCTGGCCAGTCATGCTGGCCGTCAACGCATCCTTCGGCAGCGACGCGCCCCCCGAGTTCCTGGCCTTCGACAACGAGGAGGACATGGTGACCGCCTACAACAATTCGTACCAAGACCTCTTCACGATCGGTATCGTTTTCAGCGGGGAGTACCCTACCGACTTGAAAGTCGCCATACGCATGCCAAAATTTGATGTGCCAGATACTGATGCCGATTCCCGGTTCATCGCCTCATGTAAATATGCGATAAATAACCACTTTGCGATAAATAACCACTTTTTACATGTAGAAGCTCCTGCCAGAGATTCAAAAACTCTTTTCTTTCAGGCTTTTTGAAAAAGGATGGAGAAAGCTCAGAAGGCCAAAATGAAAGATTGATTCTTCCATTTCTTGCCTCATTTGCTGATACTTTTGTGTCCAAAAGAGCCGTCATCCATTGTACCAGATTTTCAACTTGCATGCACCCGCGTTGCTGGAAACGTATAAGAAGACAAAATATATTGCAAATGTATCAGGAAAAAAGACTGAGATCTAGTTTTCTTTTTTACTTCTTTCTTTTTTTTTACTAGTTGTTTGGCAGCATATTTTATTTGCTTCTTTGTGTTAGCAGCTGACCTACAAGTTCTGATCTTTCATCTTCTGTTAAGAGAACAAACAGTGTTTTAGTCTCGCGTAGCGTCCGCATTTTGTGAAATAGATTCGTGTCACAGCGCCACCACTGGCAGCACTGAAACCGTGTAATGGAAGTTCTATTCACCTTGCAATAGAACTTCCATTGCACTGTGCCTTGCGCGCGCCGTGCGTTAGGACAAATAATTCAATAACATGTGATCAACGATCCACCAATCAGGTGACGGGGATTTATTCAGGTGTTGTATAAAACAGTCTGTTCTCTTTTCTTGCTGTAATATACAAACTATATATGCGTATGTCTCGAATAAATCTACGGCTTAATAATAATAGTAGATAGGTCGTCGTAGATAGGTAGGAGACTAGTGGAGAGTTCTTTGCCGTCCGAGGATGCCTTGGGCATACTGCGTAGAAGTGACTCTCCTCATAACCTATAAAATCTGCCAGCATGCAAGGGGGATTGCACAAGTTTCACTTGCAGTATTTTTTTTGGTCTGTTAACAGCAAGGTGTCGGTCTAGAAATGCAAAGAATCCTGGACTTGCTCTGTGCGGAACAAATAGATACCTGTTTACTGGATTTGCAGCCCTTCAGACTGTTCTGCAAAATGCCATTCATTCGGTAAGTCTGATAGTAGAGGTTTCACACGGGAACCGTTGTGGTACGGGATATTCTGTGTGGTCTTGTGATGTCGTGTGGAACATGCCATCCACTACGCACATACACAACACTGATACATTATACAAATATTGAGTGGCTCAGAGTGAAATGGGAGGAATATTATCGCAACGTAAAATCTGGAGCCGAGTGAACTGGAAAAGTCCAGATTTTACCGAGCGATAATGTTCCTCCCATTTCACAATTTAAAGCCACTCAATATTTGTTTTATATAACTTACATATACATGTAGATCCTTGTCATTTGATATATTTGAACTTTTAGTTCACTACAAAGTTGATGGGAACTGTATTTCTCTCTTCCAAACCACCCCTTCACGAAAATGTTTGAACCCCACTCTGTAGCGCTGGCTCTTTGGAACAATACGCGCTACGCGCAACGCTGAACGCGCACACCAGCGCACACAAATACCGCGTCTTGGAACAAGAATGATCCTAACTGTTCAATAGTATTTGCCATTCATGAATGGGAGTAATAACGAATGTCACGTGATGTGAATTCCACCAATCAAATGACAAGGATCTGTATGTCGGTTATATGAGTGCTAACTGTCAGTGTGGAACGCATACATACATGTACATCGTCACCATTTTCAGGAAGAAACTACATATGTCAAAAATTATCATTTTTTAGATTTTTGATTTTTTTTTGTCGCTATTTTGCTTTAAAACATTGTACTAAACCATTTTGACATGTTTCTGTAAGCAAAACAGCATTAATTTCCAAATTACATTAATGATGCATGGGTCAAATATCTTGATAATTGAATTTTGCGTTTTCATGAAGAGACACAAACTTTTTGGCCCCTTGAATGCGTACAAAACCTATTGCACAGAAAGGCATAAAAGTACATGTAGGTCAACTGAGATTTTTGTTGGAAAAAATGTTGCAACCTGACGCCACTTCCGCGATTGTGTACAAAGTCTATGGAGAGTCAAGACAATTTTCTAAGTATTTCCTAACAAAATTGGAAATATCTCTCAGTCCCAGATTCATGTCTTATCATCATATTTGCAATGAATGACATTTATTGAGATGATATATGAAGAAAAAAGTGGCGTCAGGTTGCAAAATTTTCTCCTTTACGGTTCACGAAGAGCCACATATCTTTGTTACATTCTCAGCTGCGCGCACGTACACATGCGCACGCCTTCCACATGGAAAAACACATTGAGCAGAAAGGGCCAAAATTTAGGAAACTTGAATTTTCGTTTTCACATGGAGACACATATCTTTACTAATTAATTTTGTTGTCAATCAACCACCGCGTTAATTCTAATTACTGGGTTCATGTAAAAATTCATCTCATAAATCATGTGAAGGTTTCCTTACTGCGCAAAGTTGTGTTAAAATAGGAGAAAGTTCTGTGGCTATTCACACAATCTTTTTTTATTATGTTTCAGCAACTGGCAAGCGGGCCCCTCGATCTGCCCGACTTTTCCGTGCGAATGCTGCCCGTCGGTGCGAGCACGTCCAGTTCCGGTGATGACCCCATGAGGATCATTATTGTGATCTTCTTTGTCTTACTGTACGGCATTTTTGTGGCCGTGCTGCTGACCAACCTCGTGTACGAGAAGGAGAAGAAGATTAAGGAGACCATGCTGATGATGGGAATGTCCAATGCTGCCTTCTGGTGAGTTGTAAAAAGCTAGACATAATAATAATAATAATCGGCATTTAAGAACGCTCTTATTAGTAAACTAAATCACAGCGCTTACAAATAATGAACAATTAAATTAAATAAATAAATTAAGTTAAATAATAAAAACAGGTAGCATAGACAATGAATTGATTATTGGTGGAATAAATTGGTCTTGATCAGCTTCTTGAATTGCTCGAGAGATTTGGCATTTTGAATGGAAAAGGGCAGACTATTCCACTCCTTCGCTGCACTAACTGTGAAGGTTCTGTCACCAGCTTTGTTGTGAGTACGAGGGGAAGTCAGGCGAAAAGGATTAGAACTAGAACGGAGGTTTGGTCTGGGGGGAACATGAGGCAAAATGCAGGACTGCATATATTCTAGTGACTGGTTGTGAAATGATTTGTATACCAAAAGTAATAACTTGTAACGAATTCGTTTGGAGATGGGTAACCAGTGTAGTGACTGCAGCAAAGGGGTGGAATCCTGTCTTCGGTTAGTCCTGTTGATTAGGCGAGCTGCCCGGTTCTGGAGACTCTGGAGTCTTTTAAGGCATGTGTGGTATTGGATTTTGGGAGTCCGCGGTATACCGCCCCAAAAATATGGCGGTGTTCGGTATTATTGGGTGTTTTTCTGGGCGGACTATTATGTGATCAAAATACAATCAGATATGTGGAGTTACGGAAACTGCAAACAGGCAGCATGGGCAGAACTAGATCCCTTGGTATTGGAAGTTGACAAACTAGTTCCCTCAGCTTCGCCTTGGCAACTAGTTTGTCCACTTCCATTTCCTTGGGGAGCTTATATACAAATATGGGATGCATCGAGTGGTGTAGTAAAACTAGCCTCCCGAGGTGATCCATGGACATTCTTTTTTCCCGAGAAATATGGGGAGTCAGGTTGGCGTAGCGGTACTTTCCTTGCCTTCCACCGCTGTGACCCGGGTTCGAATCCCACCCGGGCCAATATGTGGATTGGGTTTTCAGTTCCTACCTGATTTCGTGGGTTTTCCTCAGAATATTCCTCTGGGCTTTTCCTCCCACCTCTAAAACTGTAATTTCTTCTCATTGTCTTCTCTCTACAGGTTTCTTCAGGCTTTCGGGCTACAGTGCTTAGGGCACTGTTGAGGGATCCTTGGTTTCATTACCAGAAAGAAAAAAAAAAAAAAAAAAAAAAATTAGAATGCTTAATGGATTCACCGAGGGAGGCTAGTTATGGTTTTACTTCACCACAAGATAAAGCATTTAATATTTGTTTTATAACACTTCACCCACAGATTCTGCTTGGTTTTTAATATTTTTAATTGTTTAAATCTGATTACAGTTAAAATAAACTTCTATTTCAAATTACAAAATGGGTGGGAAACCTAATTCTCTCTTCCAAACCACCCCTTCACGAAATGTTTGAACCCATCTCTGTGGCGCACTCTCTTGTGTACAGTACGCGCAATGCTCAAGGCGCACAGCAGCATGCATTTGCACACAAATACCGCGCCATGGGTATAGTACTTTGGTTGCTAATGGTATAGTACTTTGGTTGCTACGGGTATAGTACTTTTGGCCAGGCACAGAAAGATACCAAAAAAAGAAAGTACCATGTGACTCACTCTCGGCCAATCAAGACACAGAATCTTTGGGTGAGGTGTTATAATATTGACTATCCACCCTCAAACCATGTTATATTTGTATACTACAATGTGGGCAGTCCTAACTACAGTTGGAACGTAAGATAATTCTAGTGCATTAGCCGTCTTTGCTATTTCATTCAGTCTCCTGACGATGACTAGAGCAGGCTAGTCGAAACGTTGAGACCAAAGACAAGTTCTTTTAGAACTCACAGCAGGACTGTTCTAAACAGAACAAAAAAACTACTTAGCAAGTTGATAATAAGCAGGACAAGTTCTTCTCAGAACTAATATCTTCTAAGCAGTAGTTATTACCACATGGTGTTACCGCAAAACCGAAACGATACCGATACCCCACCATGCAAAGCCTCAAATCTTATATTTCATTCTTATTTCCTCTTGCCTTCAGGCTTGCCTGGTTTATAATCTACATTGTCATCCTGTTCGTTTTATCTCTTGTCGTCACTGTATTGTTTGGCCCTCTCATTGGCACCTTCCGCAAGTCGAACTTCGGCGTCATTTTCCTTACCCTTTTTTTCTACGGAATGTCACGTGAGTTCAAAGTTTATCAAAGCCTTTTTGGACATTTCTTTTTTTATGGCCATAACACCAATAATTATGTTATTTTGGATTTACCCTTTGCCGACATCATTATAATTACCAATTGTTTATTTCTTAGTGCCTGTGCCTTTGCTGTTTAATAAGGGAATAAATGTGTGCTTGGGAGGTTTTAATCACTCTGTTTAAAGGGAAAATACAACATTTGCAAACATCAAAAAATAATACTACCAAATCATTTTGAAATACCTTGCTGGACTGTTAGTGAATGACAGTGTAAAGCATCCTGTAAAATCATGGCACCTGGTATACTGTCATTTTCAAGAAAAGTGGTATTTTTGTATCAATTTCCAACGCTGGTCAGCCGACCAGCATTGGAAAAAACTGGCTTTTTTTCAAATACTGGCCCCAATTGACCATCGCACTTGTTTGCAATCGATTACACACCTATGAACGGGTACAAGCCAGCTAGACTGGTTCCCTGACCTTACAATTCCCCAATGTATGTAAACTGCTCTGTTTCTTCTTATATGGAGTCAGGGAACCAGTCTACAGGAAAATGATTGTTTTTCTTGGTTTTTATAGCATTTTCGAACCCAAAACCTCAAAAAAGTCAGTGTAACTATATTTGCTATATATTTCCAGCCCCCCAATTCCATCCATTTCTGAAAATCACAGCAAAAGCAAATGATGTTTATTCCCTTTAAGACCGCTATGAGTCTGGGTGCTGATAATTACCCGAACCGAGAGGACTCCTTTCTAAAGGGTCTTAAAAAGAGTGATTAATACCAACCAAACACATATTTATTCCCATTCATAAATACCTTTTTGGTCAAAAAAATCAAAACTTTTCGGTCAAAAAAAAACGATTTTGTTCTACAAGTTTATGTTTTTAAAAACACCCCTCTTGCTAAATAATGGAGTGTCCAGCTCGCGAGTAAGATGTAAACAACTCCTTTTATGAAGATTGGTGCAGGGGTTGCGCGTTCTGCACGATGTCGCGCAGAATGCACCTGGGGCATTGTGTTCTGAGTTTAGGACAACAAAATACTGACTCACTAGTAGTATTGCGCATGCCTATGTGAGGATTGTGAGCGCTCAACCAATGAAACAGTAAGAGACACTGGATTTAATTTTCATTAGCAACTGCTTGACTCACCAATGCTGATAACTTCATTGCGGGAAGATTGCGGGGCAGTTGTTCAGAATCCTGCAACATCATGCCCGATACAATGTCCGCAACTTGTCCAGAACGTGTACTGGATAGGAATTGAGAGGGGTCCTTAGCACAACCCCAAATGAAGGACCATGGTTTTCTAATCCAGTTCCTAATTCTGCCTGTTTTTTGGTTTTGTTTTGATTTTCCTTTGGAAATAGTGGTCAGTTTTTCCTTCATGCTGACACCGTTCTTCAGCAGGTCCTTAGTGGCAGGAGCGGCCGCTACGGTGGTCATCTTGATTCTTGGATTGATCTACATCCCGTTTGGCCTCTTTGAAATCGCTACCGTCGTCAAGTGGCTTGTTTCGTTCTTCTCACCTGTGGCATTTGCTCTCGCAATGGATCAGGTAGGGGCCCGATAACAATAAACAACAGGGGTGAGATTCCTTAGGATTTTTCCTAATTTCAGGAACTTTTTGTCTGGATTTTTCCTGAACTCAGGATTTTTCCAGTTTTCAGGATTTTGTTGGTCAGGATTTTTCCAGATTTCAGGATTTTGTTGGTCAGGATTTTTCCAGATGTCAGGATTTTGTTCGTCAGGATTTTTCCAGATTTCAGGATTTTGTTGGTCAGGAATTTTTCCAGATTTCAGGATTTTGTCGGTCAGGATTTTTCCAGATTTCAGGATTTTGTTGGTCAGGATTTTTCCAGATTCAGGATTTTGTTGGTCAGGATTTTTCCAGATTTCAGGATTGTGTTGGTCAGGATTTTTCCAGATTTCAGGATTTTGTTGGTCAGGAATTTTTCCAGATTTCAGAATTTTTCCAGATTTCAGGATTTTGTTGGTCAGGATTTTTCCAGATTTCAGGATTGTGTTGGTCAGGATTTTTCCAGATTTCAGGATTGTGTTGGTCAGGATTTTTCCAGATTTCAGGATTGTGTTGGTCAGGATTTTTCCAGATTTCAGGATTTTGTTGGTCAGGATATCTCTGGATTTGATGAAATTTTTTCCGGATTTTTCCCCGATTTTTAAAGAATATCATTTGAAATTTGGAATTCCTGAGGTTTTTTTACCTATAAAATTTTATATACAACAAAAGAAGTGGTATTTTAAGGGGTGCTTTTTGGCAAATACAAATTTAAACATATACTTTGGACCCTTCGTTGCGCTTTGACATTCAGCGACCTTCATAGCCTCTGCCGATTATTTTGTGGATTTTTCATATCCCCCAATCGCACCCCTGAGCTTGATCGGAAATATCTCGGAAGCTGCGGGCCAACAAATTCTTGTTCATGCACGAGTCACGTGATTGTACCATGTAATTTCTGAAAGTAGTGTTTTGAGTAAAAAAAAAACCCCAGATTTTTTACCCCAGTGACCCCATGATGACCTTTGACCCGAGTTTGATCATGTGACATGTTGGGCTGGGCTACTGATACTTTTGACAAAGTTTGGTTGAAATCGGTCAAAATTTGTAGGAGCAATAGACAATGTCCATGTTTATTACAACACTAACTAACTGTATGAAACGCGAACAATACAATAGTCAGCTTGGGAAGAACAAACGCCTCTGGACAACGGTTTGCCTTGGCTTATCTTTTTCTTTATACTGTCGCTGGATTTATATCCAGTTATATTTGGTCTGCGGACTGGTTTAAGAATGTAGCGACACGATCCAGCTCTCTATCCGTGTAAAAATAAGAGCGTCCAAGACCAAGTACAGAATAATCTACCACCGCATAATAATCGCATCTGAATTCACATGCGAAGTCATTGCTGGAAATCTAGCGACAGCATAAAGAAAATCATATCCCAATGCGATCCCTTTTTCCAAGGCGTCCGCTAGCTGCCCCAGTCGATTTGCAGATTGTAGCCGCAGACGCGTAAGGTCGCTGTTCGCGCTTCGTACATTGCATAGCACTAGCGCATGCTTAGCGTTGATGTTATCAGCCAGCTACCATCGCGGAGAGTATCAATGAGTGCTTGGCCAAAGTTACCGAACCTCCTGTTTCAAAGATTTATTGTTTGCAGATGATTTTACACCAATTTTTTTCTTCCTTTTTTTGTTTTAGGCTTTGTCCTTGGAGGAGGTCCAAGTAGGGGCCCAATTTAATAATATTGTCATAGATGGTTTCCCGCCCTACATGGTCATGCTTCTAATCGACTCTGTACTTTACCTACTGCTGGCCGTCTACTTTGACAACGTCATTCCAGGTACCAGACCTGCTGTCTTTCAGTTTGTGTGCAGTACAATGAAAACTAAACCTGAAGGGGGAAATCCATAGGGGATGTATTAAGGGTGTGTTCGTTTAGCTCACCCGGGTCAACACGGGTTAGCCCTGTGCCGTCATTAGCTCTAACGTCATTCTCGGGACTCACCCGGGTCAGCCACCACAGACCCTGCTCGTGGAGCAGAGTCACAGGTGGAAGTACCTCACGCTACTCACGCATGCGTTGTTCATTCCAAGAAACGGACAAATATGGCAGCCGGACAGCGGAAATCTCAAGTGGACTTAAAAGTTGACTTTATTTGAAGTCTAAAGATAATCATTTATTGAGTTCATTGCGACTGTTGAGGCTATGATTTCAGCCCAACTTTTTAGAGTTTTGCAATTGACTATAAAAGCAGTCAATCTCAAACTAACACCCAATCCGAAACGGGCGTTTTGTCAGTGGCTATGGCCACGGCTATTAAGGGCGTCACGTGAGGATCGTGATGGCAGGCGGATGAGCATTCGATTAGCCCGGCTGTCGTGGCTGACCCATCGGCCGTGTTGACCTGGGTGAGCTAAACAAACGCACCCATTAAAGGGAACAAACATCATTTGCTTTTGCTGTAATTTTCAGAAATGGATGGAATTGGTGGGTTGGAAATATATAGCAAATATAGTTAAACTGACTTTTTTGAGGTTTTGGGTTCGAAAATGCTATAAAAACCAAGAAAACAATCATTTTCCTGTAGTCTGGTTCCCTGACTCCATATAAGAAGAAACAGAGCAGTTTACATACATTGGGGAATTGTAAGGTCAGGGAACCAGTCTAGCTGGCTTGTACCCGTTCATAGGTGTGTAATCGATGGCAAACAAGTGCGATGGGCAATTGGGGCCAGTATTTGAAAAGAAGCCAGTTTTTTCCAACGCTGGTCAGCCGACCAGCGTTGGAAATTGATACAAAAATACCACTTTTCTTGAAAATGACAGTATACCAGGTGCCATGATTTTACAGGATGCTTTACACTGTCATTCACTAACAGTCCAGCAAGGTATTTCAAAATGATTTGGTAGTTTTATTTTTTGATGTTTGCAAATGTTGTATTTTCCCTTTAAATGACATTGTCAGTAAGCCGGTTTGGTATCTCGATGGAGGGGTCCGGGTCAAAGGTCATGTCGGTTGAAATTGAAACTCTCTGATAAGTGGAATGGGCAGGCTATTCATATACCAAGAAGACCACTAGCAAGTGAATGCAGTCACAACTATGGAGCAAATTGGAGGATGTTCCACTTGTTTTCTTTAGCCTGTGTCACAAAAAATGGAAGGCTTAAAGGGACGATACAAAATTTGCAAACATCAAAAAACGAAAGGACCACATTATCACGTAATATCTTACTGGATTGTTAGGGAATGACAGTCTCAAGCATCCTGTAAAATTGTGGCTCCTGGTTGTGCTGACATTTTCAAGAAAAGCTGTATTTTTCCAATGCTGGTCGGCCGACCGGCGTTGGAGAAAACTGGTGTTTTTTTTTTAAAGTGTTCCTAATTTGCCTTTAACATTTTTTTCATGGTTGGTTTCAACTATCCGGTTTCCAACATTGAAATCGAGTAATGGAATTCAAACCAAATTTAGAAAAGAAAAAAACCCGGATTTTAATCCCACCATTAGTTTTGGAGAATTAGCTAACCCCCTTGTAGTTCCTCAGGACTTCCCCGCTAAATCCAACAGAATCCTACGGTGCCTTATTTTTCAGTTGTCTGCTGGATCCAACAGAGTCCAACCTGGCGTTATAATGCAGTTCAGTTGCCAGCTGAATCGAACATATTGCAATCAGGAACGTGTGGGTTAACTGCTCATTCCAACAGGCTCCATTGGGTATATGATATAGTTGGTTCCTGTTGGATTCAGCAGGGTTAGGGTTGTTAAAGGGAAAATACAACATTTGCAAACATCAAAAAATAAAACTACCAAATCATTTTGAAATACCTTGCTGGACTGTTAGTGAATGACAGTGTAAAGCATCCTGTAAAATCATGGCACCTGGTATGCTGTCATTTTCAAGAAAAGTGGTATTTTTGTATGAATTTCCAACGCTGATCGGCCGATCAGCGTTGGGAAAAAAACTGGCTTTTTTCAAATACTGGCCCCAATTGACCATCGCACTTGTTTGCAATCGATTACAAACCTATGAACGGGTACGAGCCAGCTAGACTGGTTCCCTGACCTTACAATTCCCCAATGTATGTAAACTGCTCTGTTTCTTCTCATATGGAGTCAGGGAACCAGACTACAGGAAAATGATTGTTTTTCTTGGTTTTTATAGCATTTTCGAACCCAAAACCTCAAAAAAGTCAGTGTAACTACATTTGCTATATATTTCCAATTCCATCCATTTCTGAAAATTACAGCAAAAGCAAATGATGTATATTCCCTTTAAGAAATGCCTGGGTAAAATGTTTGTTTTGTTGGCTTTCTATGATGACAGGGAACTACGGTCAGAACAAGGTCCCTTGGTTCTGCTTCATGCCATCGTATTGGCGCAAGAGCTCAGTGGGAAACTTGGTGGACAGTCTCAGCGATCTGGAGACTATGCAACTCAACGATCAAGACGATGTGGAACAGGTCTCTGCCGTGCTGAGGGCAAAAGCTGGCGTTAGGTAAAAATGGTTGGGTTGGGAAAGTTGACGGTGTTCAACTCGTGTGCCCTGGTACATGGGTTTCGAATCCTGACCGTGGGAAATTGGTGCTTGTGCTCTTGAGCAAGGCACTTTACCATACTTGCTTCGTCCTTCGGATGGGACGTAAAGCTGCAGGTCCCGTGTGTTGTGTAATGCACGTTAAAGAACTCAGTAACACTTATTGCTAAGATAATAGGTTTGCCCCGGTGTTTCTGGCAGTGGCTGCAATAATGCGCCGCAGCACCTTGTAAACCATTACAAGGTGCTACATAATGGGTCTCATATTTCTCATAAACTTTGTTTGCCTTTTCTTTAATAATTGGCATAATTTCCAGCGCCTTGAGTACCTAATTGTTGGTAGATACGTGCGCTGTATAAGACTCCGATATTATAAAACTAAAGGAAATCTGGCTTTTTCCCCCAATTATTTAAATAATTGAAATTAATCAGCAAGATAGGGTGGCCGGTAAGCACCCCCATGGATCCACCCTTGAAATGTACCCACGTGAACAAAAAGTATAGTTAAACAAAACAAAATAGATCCACCGGAACAATGAACAAAAAGTCTTTTAGTATCTTAAAATCTTCAAGTTCTAGACTGAAGTGCCTTTAGTATCTTAAAATCTTCAAGTTCTAGACTGAAGTGCCTTTGGCTTTAAATTAAAAAAAAAATTGTTTGAGAATTTATTTTGAGGTTCAGAGCAAGTTCGGTTATTTGAAGGTTTGAATAAGTGAGCTGCGGTGCATTTGTACACACTGGTTTGCAGTAACTGTATTTTGCAGTTTTCCAGCATTCCAAGTGTTCCAACTTTGAAAGTTCCAATTATCCAAGTGTTTCAATTTTCCAAGTGTTTCATTTTTCCACGTGTTCCAACTTTCTTTGTGTTTCAACTTTCCAAGTGTTTCAATTTTCCAAGTGTTTCAATTATCCAAGTGTTTCAATTTTCCAAGTGTTTCAATTTTCTTTGTGTTTCAACTTTCCAAGTGTTCCAACTGTCCAAGTGTTTCAATTTTCCAAGTGTTTCAATTTTCTTTGTGTTTCAACTTTCCAAGTGTTCCAACTGTCCAAGTGTTCCAATTATCCAAGTGTTTCACTTTTCCAAGTGTTTCAATTTTCCAAGTGTTTCAATTTTCTTTGTGTTTCAACTGTCCAAGTGTTCCAACTGTCCAAGTGTTCCAATTATCCAAGTGTTTCAATTTTCCAAGTGTTTCAATTTTCCAAGTGTTTCAATTTTCCAAGTGTTTCAACTTTCCAAGTGTTCCAATTATCCAAGTGTTCCATTTATCCAAGTGTTCCAATTATCCAAGTGTTTCAATTTTCCACGTGTTTCAACTTTCCAAGTGTTCCAACTTTCTTTGTGTTTCAACTTTCCAAGTGTTCCAACTGTCCAAGTGTTCCAAATCCAAATATTCCAATTTTCCAAGATTTGAGATTTATTTTTTCATGTGACTGTTTACCTCGCCGTTGCATCTTAACTGAATGTCAAGCAGTTTCCTTGACGACCTTTGGTAATAATCCTCTGCAGTAAATTATTTTTAACATTTTTTAATTAATTTTCTTGCAGGATTCGCAATTTGTCCAAGACGTACAAAGGAAACGGACAAAACAACCCCGATATTCTTGCTGTCAGAGGTACGGGTTCTGATGAACATTTTGTTCAGATTTGGCAAAGATATGCGATGAAGTGGGCGCAAGTATGAATCAAACAAACAAATTGCAAACAAAGCAAGCAAATAATTACCGATGGTGGTGCGGATGGCTTGTTTATTGCAAGAACAGTACATGTACACACTGTTGAACCACTTCGCGCCGGGAATTTGCTTTGCGGAAATTATTTGTTTTTTGCAAAAGGCAACATTTTCCAGCCAACTTCTGAGGTACAGCCAAACACTACAAATACTGATTTGCAAGGGTCATTTAAAAAGTATTTGTACGATCCACTGTATACTCAGTGGCAGTTGACTATGGATCATTTCTATCAAGAGATACACTCAACCAAAAAAGAAAGTCCCCCCTAATCAGAGATGCCACTTTTCCGGTTTTAGCCGGAATCTTTTTCGGCCGTCAAAATAAACTGGAAAAAGAGAAGAAAAATTGTTGAAATGCGGTGATTTTTATCTCTTGGGCGCTCTCGAGTTTAGTACATTTAGGCACACACAAGGCACAACGTTGTTCGTTGAAGTAGTCTTAAAAACAAGTCTTTGTTGTTGCTGAGCCTGCATGCGATACAGGGGGCCAACGTACTCGCACGCATATACAACGGCGCCTCGCGCGTGCTTCACCGCGTGCGGGCATGTTGTGGGCTAAGCACACGTAGCATTCAGCCTGGAAATCGAGTCTCATCATTTCAGCTGTCGGTGGTTTGCGAATGTAAAACACGCCAGGTACCAACCGTGCTTTCGTTGCGCGCATCGCGTAGTGCAAAGGTCATGTACATCGACAGTGTTGGAATCGTGTATGTTTTGTGTTGAATACTACGTTGAAAATACAGGTAGGCAGAATAAATAAAAGGAATATGGAAACATTCACAGTGATTGAATGAACCGACAGCTTAAAGGCCATAGAATAAAAAATGAAAAATAAATGGAACTGGACTTGGCTACAAGAGAAAGATGACAACGGGGACTTTGTGTCGGAGTGGCTTTTTCACAAAAAATAAAGTTCCGTTTTTTTCAAGTTCCAGTTTTTTCAAGCAGACCCAGTTCCGTTTTTTTTTTTATCAAGCAGACCCTGTGGCATCTCTGCCTAGTAATACTGTTTTGTCGAACTTAAAAATTACTGCGCCCATCTTGCTCAAATTACGACTGATCAGTACAGAAAATCCTTAGCAATCAAGCCATACTCTTTGTTTGGCCCAAAACAGTGAGATGGTGTGCAAAATTATGCAATTTATGACAAATGCTACCGGAAAAAAAGTTGCACTTTCGTTTACTTTTTGTATACAAAAGAGCAACTGTTTTCGGTATCGTTTGTCGTAAATGGCATAATTTCGTACACGTATGGCTTGCTTGCTAAGGAATTTCTGTATTGATTAGTCGTTATTTGAGCGAAGTATGTTCAGTAGTTTTTGTGTTAGACAAAAAAGTATTGGAAGGGGGGACTTGCTTTTTTGGTTGAGCTTATCTTGGCGCAGAAATCACAAAGTGTTGGGTAATGAAGCCATTAAAATGGATCTAGTACCAAATGCCCATGAACTGTAATGGTAGTCGTTTGGGCTTTTGCTGCCATTTTCCCGAAACTGGCCTCGATAAAAGAAATGAGTCAAGCCTAGCAGAGCTGGTCCCAGAGCACACAAAATACTATTAAATTTGGGCGATTCACATGCAGTGGGCCACCAAGAGCTTGCCATGGAGAGTCAATTTTTCCCAGTGAATTGTGGGAGATGGTCGACAAATTCCCAGCGCGGGACATTTGGAATTGTTAGTTTTCCAGTCAGTAGTTTCGTATTAGCATATGATTCCAGTATAGATCTGTTTGCCCTTTTCTTTTCTTTTTTTCAATTTTTTTTTTTAAAGCGGCAGAACGCTATGCCTCAATCTATAACAAATTAGCTCAACTTGTGTCCTGACGCTCATTTAAATGGCCATGTTTTGTCGACTGTAAATTTGAATAAAATGGACTCTCCATGGCAAACTCTTGGCGGTGCACTGCATTGTGAATTGCCTGAAATTGATTCAGGATTTGTATTCACTGGAAGTTTTCCCAAGTATCTGCTCTACAAAAGATTCAGCCCATTCATTTGCATTGCGGGGTAATCCTATACAATAGCACTGCCCGACTCACAAATGGCTGAGGACCCTAGGCTTGCACTCTGGGACCAGCAAAAATAAGTCAATCCTCCTGTGTGTCATTAAAAAGGAATGAGCCTGGACATCTACGAGGGCCAGATCACCTTTAAATTGTCCAAGTGTTCCAACTTTCCAAGTGTTTCAACTTTCCAAGTGTTTCAACTTTCTTTGTGTTTCAACTTTCCAAGTGTTCCAACTTTCTTTGTGTTTCAATTTTCCAAGTGTTCCAACTTTCTTTGTGTTTTAACTTTCCAAGTGTTCCAACTGTCCAAGTGTTCCAATTTTCCAAGTGTTCCAACTTTCTTTGTGTTTCAACTTTCCAAGTGTTCCAACTGTCCAAGTGTTCCAATTTTCCAAGTGTTCCAACTTTCTTTGTGTTTCAACTTTCCAAGTGTTCCAACTGTCCAAGTGTTCCAAATCCAAATATTCCAACTTTCTTTGTGTTTCAATCCTCCTGTGTGTTGTTAAAAAGGAATGAGCCTGGACATCTACGAGGGCCAGATCACCTGCCTGCTGGGCCACAACGGGGCCGGTAAGACCACCCTGATCAACACCCTGACTGGCCTGATAACGGCCGACAGCGGCCAGGCCACCATCTGTGGCTACAGCATCCGGGATCCCATCCAGATGCAGAAGATCAGGTCCATGATGGGGGTGTGTTCCCAGGACAACACGCTGTTTGATGTTCTGTCTCCGCGCGAACACCTCAAAGTGTACGCTGGACTGAAGGGAGTACCTTCACAGGAAATTGATATGCAGGTGAGAAGCATCTACAGCTTTTTACTGATTACACTGTTCAAGGATATTCTAATTCTTGTTATTTTTATCGTGTGCTTGGGTACTGTGATTCCGTTGATCTAGAACGGCCACATGTCTGGTCTATACAGGCATGCAACTTTTCCTCGGATCCGCTGATTTCCTCGTTTTTACTTCTCGTGAATGCCATTACAAATTAAAAAAACACTGTCCAAAGTCTTGTGTGGTTCGGAATTTCCTCATTTTTTTCTAAATTCCCAGTTGCCTGGCTGTCTATAAAAACGCATGTCACACATATCAGTGATATCGCACTGCGTTCATTGCATGCGTAGATCTGCGAGGGCGCTAGCCCCGTGCAATGTCAACCGCTAAGTCTCGTGTCTGGCAGGACATCAAAACTTTCAGTTATCAAAGGTTATATTGCAGTGATTTAACTGATTTCTCTTACAGTAAGTTACAACCATTTATCCGTTCGACTTATTGGCACGATATAATAAAACAAGTGTTGACTGCTGTGATGTGGGATATGTTGTTTTTAACCCCCTCGGGGCCCATAGCACCCAGGGCGAATGTTATGCGCCCCTCGGGTGTTAAAAACGTCATATCCCACATCACAGCAGTCAACAATTGTTAAATAGCCCATGGTCCAAGACTTGAATTGGGTTCACCTAACCGCCTCGGGTGCTATGCGCCCCTCGGGTGTTAAAAAGGTCATATCCCACATCACAGCAGTCAACAATTGTTAAATAGCCCATGGTCCAAGACTCGAATTGGGTTCACCTTACCGCCTCGGGTGCTATGTGCCCCTCGGGTGTTAAAAAGGTCATATCCCACATCACAGCAGTCAACAATTGTTAAATAGCCCATGGTCCAAGACTCGAATTGGGTTCACCTTACCGCCTCGGGTGCTATGTGCCCCTCGGGTGTTAAAAAGGTCATATCCCACATCACAGCAGTCAACAATTGTTAAATAGCCCATGGCCTAAGACTCAAATTGGGTTTACCTAATGCTTCTGTTTCCTGACAAGTCCAGACACGCCACTCTCGACAAGATGAGTCAAATCCTGCCTTGGGAAGTTTGGCACTTGGATCCAAGCAATAGCTAAGCACACCTCATGTGTGCTATAGTCAAGCTAATGCACTTTTGTGACGTGTGCTCGGAAATTCTTGGGTCCAAGTGCCAAAGTTCCCAAGATTTGATTTGATTCATCTTGTCAATAGTGATATATCCGCTCCGTTCACAAGTACCCCCTCACCGGCAAAGGAAGTACAGTTGGGGGGTGCGCGGCCACTGCGTGTACATAAAACAAATCCCCTGGTGTACGCGCGTCACACACAAGGAACGGTGCGTGTCAACCAGCGAAATGTACCGCCCATGGGACGTCGTTGCTAGGTAAAAGGGCGCCCTCTTTTGGTTGCACGGAGCTCATACTGCCACGTTGGCTTGACTGCGTTCACTAGGGAATTAGACTGGCTATATTTAGGACCGAAACAAAATAGGATGTGTACAGTGTGATGATTTATTGGTGTTTTTTTTTAAGTTTGCATTTTTATTAAACCTTTCCTTTTCTCACAAGGTGGATAAAATCTTAAAACTCACCATGCTTGACGAGTCGGCCGACACCAAGTCTAAGGATCTCAGCAGGGGACAGAAACACAAACTCTGCGTTGGAATCGCACTCATCGGTGACCCCAAGGTGAACGAAAGAAACCTATTGGAATAATTAGTTAGTTCCGACAACACTTTTTTAATCCATCTTTTAACATTTTGCATTTGTGAGAAATGAAGAGAGTCCTCCATTTTCTTCATGCTACAAGGAATGACATAATTACTCATTTGGCATTGGCATTGCTACAAGGAATGACATAATTACTCATTTGGCATTGATGTATCAAGCCAGCAGTTGTATGTGACATTCTCACAAGTAAACATGATGCAACATTGATCATAGGCATACGCGTTGTTGCGGAAACTCTTAATTTAACTTGTCTATTTTTTTGCCATCTGTCCACTGTCGCTACCTGTTCATCCCTCTTATCTTTTTAAATAGTACAGGGTGAGTCCAAAAAAACTAAACCCAAAAGTCGGGACCATTGTTTTAGTGAAGTCCTGCAAGTAGCACCTTCAAAATCTAGGATATAAAAGCCTCATTCATAAGCTTTCTTTTAGTATAATAATCTTTCAAATCACTCATGTACTTTTCAAGTTATTGAAATGCTGTCCACGGATCACAAAAAAAGGTGCGCGTTCTTTGAGCAAAGCGAAAACAATTCACACACATCCCTATGTGATTTGTTTTTTGTTTTTGCTGAAAGAACACTTCCCTTGTTGTGATCCGTGGACAGAACTTTAAAACGGCGGTTGTGTTTAAAATTCCGTAACTTGAAAAGTACATGAGTGATTTGAATGATTCTTGTCCTAAAAGAAAGCTTTTGCATTGGGCTTTCATATCCTAGATTTTGAAGGTGCTACATGCAGAACTTCACTAAAACAATAGTCCCGACATTCAGGTGTTTTTTTTTACTCACCCTTTATTGTTGCCACCGGTCCACTGTGGTTACCTGTTCATTGGTAATACGCTCTTGTCATCTTTTTTTATACAACACCTGAATAAATCCCCGTCATCTGATTGGTGGATCGTTGATCACATGTCATTGAATTATTGGCACCAATGCACGGCGCGCGCGTGGCGCACAGCGCACAGTGCAATGGAAGTACTATTGCACTGTGATTAGAAGTACCATTGCACTGTCACTGCACATGTTGCCGAAGGTGGCGCTGTGGTGTTTAAATTGGCAATAAAAGTTCTGGACTTTTTGAACTGTTTAAGTTCTTAACTTATGGAAAAGTTTTAAATTGAGATAAATTGAATATGATAGTTCTCAACCTGTTGAACAGTTTGCATAAATTAAATATGATAACTCTGAACTTGTCAAACTTGTAACAATTTTTAACTTGAATAAATTGGCTATTAAAAGTCAACCAATCAGATGACGAGGATTTATTCAGGTGTTATATAAAACAAATAATGAGTGTTTCACGTTCGTGCAATAGAAAGAATAATTTCATTCGGTGACAGATAAATGGCTTCTCCTCGTGGAATGGAACATTTCATCTGTCACCTCATGAAATTATTCTGACCATTGCACTCACAAACATTCATTATTTGTATAATATAGTATTGTGCATGTGGATATATCTTCATCCCTAGATTCTGTTTCTTGACGAGCCGAGTAGCGGCATGGACCCGTACTCTCGCCGGCAGCTGTGGAATCTCTTGAAAAGCCAGCGACAGGGACGGATCATGGTGCTCACCACACACTTCATGGACGAGGCGGACATCTTGGCAGGTCAGAGGTCACAGTCATTCGTTTATTGAGCTTGAGGGGCGTGGTTTGAGTTAGTCTACCTTTTAGGGCCTGTCACATTATATGCGATCTCATAGGGGACCTTACGGCCACCAAAATATTTTATAAATTTAACAATCGCAGCGCGGACGCAAGAAAATGACAACTTTCTGTCTCAAAGAAGCTCCAGCAATGCTCATACTGTGCTCTTCCCACGCTTACGATGCGCTCAACTCGCTCTCAATGCGCCCCTGTCAAGCTCAATTACTCAATCTGGTCGCTGCCGCTGCGCTGTCACTGCGCTCACACTACGCTCTGCTCGCTGTTGATACGTCCTAGTAGCTCGCGTCGCGCTCTCTATTCGACCAAAATATGTCATGTGACGTCACTTGCGCTGTATAAATACCAAGACAAAACGGTCAATACACAGTCCAGTTTCAAAATTATTCTACAAGTTCATCGCAGTCGAGTTACTTTCTCATGGAGACTACATCGACTGTCTTGCGCCTAGGCTGCCTCAATGCCACTTCAATGTCGCACGATTCACGTTCGCACAGCGCCCGAGTTGCGTCATTACGGCGCCCTGGCCAGAGCGCAGAGGTAATTGCGATTGTTTTGAGCATGTTCAAAGACCTTTGGGCTCATCGGAGACCATTAAGCCTCTCTGGTGCCCATCTGGCGACCTATGTAATTGTCGCTGCGATCTAGTAGTTGTTGTTGTGCCCCAGCTATTTTTCAAGAACACAGTGAGAGCGCATATAAGATCGCAGACAGTGTGACAGGGCCTTAACCAATTAGCTTTTGTATTACAATGTACCTCACTGTATTTACTCCTTGTTGAATTCCTTTGGTTACGTTGATTTGAATGGGCAAAAAAAACCAAGATGGCTGCAACATGATAATGGTCTATAGGCTTTATTTACGTACGAGTCGGCCATATTACATTGAAAGCGAGGTAAAAGTTTCATTTTTGGAACTTGCAAATTTTCAATGAAAGTAGTAAAATAAAGTAAATTACAAATTAATACCAGTCTGCTCTGATGAATAATTTAAAATTTGTGGTTAATAATATGCTAAGGTTGTAAGCCACATTTAAAAATAAATATGAAAGTGAGGCCTGGAACGCATACCTAGTCTGGCACCATCCTCTACAGTTTACAAGTCCTGTTAACACATACTTGATTTTGTCGCAACGGCTATGTCGCGCAGCAATTTCGCACACGCCCGTGTGTGAACGAACAAATACGCCATATGTTGCGCGATATTGTCGCGCGGCAATTTCGCACACGCGCGTGTGTGAACGAACAAATACGCCATATGTTGCGCGATATTGTCGCGCAGCAATTTTGCACACGCGCGTGTGTGGACGAACAAATACGCCATATGTTGCGCGATATTGTCGCGCGGCAATTTCGCACACGCGCGTGTGTGAACGAACAAATACGCCATATGTTGCGCGTAATTGTCGCGCGGCAATTTCGCACACGCGCGTGTGTGAACGAACAAATGCGCCATATGTTGCGCGATATTGTCGCGCGGCAATTTCGCACACGCGCGTGTGTGAACGAACAAATACGCCATATGTTGTGCGATATTGTCGCGCAGCAATTTTGCACACGCGCGTGTGTGGACGAACAAATACGCCATATGTTGCGTGATATTGTCGCGCGGCAATTTCGCACACGCGCGTGTGTGAACGAACAAATACGCCATATGTTGCGCGATATTTTTAATTAGGGCTCAAGGATATCGTAACGTGGCAAATGCCTCCCATACGCTGTCCATTCTTTCGATGTCTTTGTAGTCTTTGTTAGCTGTGTTGTACAATTCACGATATTTCTGCACCTCGGTAGTGATTTTTTTTCGTCCATTCTGTACAACCAATCAGTTCAGGCACATGTGACATACGTAAGCAATGTTTTTTTTTTGTCGAGCGATCATAAGATCAAATCGAAATTTGATTTTAACAAATCGCGCAATATGTCGCAAGACTTTGTCACGTAAACGTAAACGTGCTCATTGTTTGTGCATATATATATTTATAAAAACGCATGGCATTATCGCACGTCAAAATCCCTTACGTGTAAAAAAAAAAATCAGGGAATGCGATAAAAATGGCTTCTTGTGAAGAAGGTCTGTAGACCATTATCATGTTGCGACCATATTGAAGGAAAAATAGTCTGGTTCCTTTTTGCATACAAAGCATTATCATTCAGTACTGTTATTGGATACAGGGAACTTGACTGAAATGGTGGCAGCATGATAAAGGTCTATAGAGTGCTTGGGCAGTTTGAGGCGGTTTAAGCAGTAACCAGCAGGGCACTTAGGGCCGGAACAGGCACTAATGGGTTGATGACTGTAGTAGTCAGAAGTATTTAGAACACAAATGCCCGTAAAGGCCAAAGCTTTTACCCGGTACTGTTTTCATAGTTTCTTCTGCCTTTGATTTGCAGATCGTAAGGCCATGATGTCATTGGGGCGTCTCCGTTGCTATGGGTCCTCCCTCTTCCTGAAAAACAGATTTGGCATCGGATACCACCTTGGGTGAGTCTTTTCCATCAATGCTACTACTTCCTGACTAAGTTGAAGGCACTCCGCCCCTTGAAGTCCTCGTCCTCCTTAAAGCATCCTCATTGAAATCCCCCCCCCCCCCTCCTTGAAACTCTTTATAGTCTGTCCCCCTCCCCTCCTCCTCCTTCAAGCCCCGCCCCATCTCCTCCTTCAAGACTGGCGGTTCATTGATCACATCCTTTTAGCAGGGCCCAATTTCATAAAGCTGCTTAAGCAGAAAATTTGCTTAAGCACGAAAAAACATTGCTTAGTAAAATTAGGTTTCCGGCCAAAACTCCATGTGATGTACATTGCTTGTGACTGGTATTTAGCTGTTGTTTACTTAGCATAACAATCGCATGGAGTTTTGGCCGGTAACCTGATTTTATTAAGAAAGACGTTTTTGTGCTTAAGCAAATTTTGTGCTTTAAGCAGCTCTATGAAATTGGCTCCTGGTTAAAGCCCTTTACGGTTATAGTTATCACAAAATAAATAATGAAAGGTTTGCGGAAACAATATGTGCGAATAATTTCTCAACTAAGAGAATTCACTTTTGCTACTTAAGTGTTTACTTTCTTAGAGTTTAGGCACTCTCCTGAAGATGGTCAGAGCATACTGACCGGAACGTCTAGTTTATACCTCTGGTTCTTTTCAAAACCATTCTCTTAGTTGAGAAATTATTCCCACATGGTGTTTCCGCAAACCTTTCATTATTTAGTATCTCCACCATGCAAAGCCTCAAATCTTACTTATCACAAAATACTCGGCCTCATATCAGTTGCCGAAACACACAAATTTTAACTGCTATTCTCTTTGTGCAACTTTGTACTGGCGCAGCACGCCGAATATTTGTTCCAATGCAGTTTTGAGTAATCGAATACTAAAAAATCGGAAATGGACAGCCCTATTCATTTGAAAATTGATGCTACAGCGAGAATCTTCCTCATTATTTTATGAGTGCTGATGGTTTAAAAACAATAAAGTAGGAAAGAATGCAGTATCCAGACGCCACTTCAGCGATTGTGTTTCCTAACAAAATTGGAAATGTTTCTCAGTCCCAGATTCATGTCTTTTCAACATTTTTGCAATGACTAACCTTTAAGGAGACGACATATGAAGAAAAAAGTGGCGTCAGGTTGCAACATTCTTTCCATATAAAAAGTACAGTCATCCTTTTAGTGTGAGTTGTAATTGATTTATTTTTTATTTTATTTTGTTTTGCTTTTCCTAGCATGGTGGTAAAGAAGAGCGCTCACATTGACAAAATCACGGAGCTGGTGACAACCCACGTCCCGGAGAGTGTCGTCTCCCGCAGTCACGGCATGGAACTGGCCTATACCCTACCAATACAGGATGCTAACAAGTTCCCAGGTACAAACAAATCCCTCGAAAAACTAATAATTATAATTAAGTGTATTCTTTTGTAAAAAAAATCCCAGTAGTATTTAAAGTTTGAAAGGGAATATGCAACATTTGCAAACATCAAAAAAAAAAAACTACCAAAGTATTATGAAATACCTTACTGGACTGTTAGTGAATGACAGTCTAAAGCATCCTGTAAAATCATGGCACTTGGTGTGCTGTCATTTCCAAGAAATGTGGAATTTTTGTATCGATTTCCAACGCCATCGTTGGAAAAAAAAAATGCTTTTTCTAAATACTGCCCCCGGTTTACCAAATTTAGTTAGTTCACATTTTGTTTGCAATCAGTTACACATCCGCGAAGCCAGCTAGTCTGGTTCCTTGACCTGAGACAATTCCCCGACATAAAATTGCCCCGTTTTGTCTGAAGTAGGGTCAGGGAACCAGACTACAAGAACAGCATTTCTTTCTTGGGTTTTTCCAGCATCTATGAACACAAAACTTTGAACAGGTCAGTGTATACAATATTTGCTATAACTATTTACCCCAAAATCCATGAATTTCTGAAAATTACAGCAGAAGCAAATGTTGTACATTCTCCGTTAAAGTGGAATTATTAAAAAGAAAGTAAAAATGAAATCTGAAAATATTGACACTCTGTGACACACAGATCTCTTCCAAGCCCTTGAGTCTGATGCTGGCATGCAAGGCGGCACGGTTGCCAAGCAACTGGGCATCAAGTCATACGGGGTTTCCATGACGTCGCTGGAGGAAGTCTTTCTGAACATCAGCGACGAGGAGAATGAAGAGGATGAGCCGATCGAGGAAGCAGATATTGTCCAGACGTCAGGTAAAGTAGGGCAAACAAACAACCCATAAAATATGCCATTGGAAGCTTGGTGCACAATTTGTTTTTGTGTCGCCGAAACAAAGTTTTGGGGGACACTTACCAGTCCGAAATTTTGTATCCCCGTACAACCAGACGTTTCAGCAGATGGGAGTTCTGGGGTACTTGCATTTTTGTCCTTTTATCCCTTTTTCTAAAGATTTCACTTGTGGGGTACCGTTTTTCTTAAAGATTTCACTAGTAGGGTACTGTTTTTCTAAAGATTTCACTTGTGGGGTACCATTTTACAGATTTAACTTGTGGGGTACCGTTTTTCTACAGATTTCACTTGTGGGGTACCTTTTTTTAAAAAGATTTCACTTGTAGGGTACCGTTTTTTCTAAAGATTTCACTAGTAGGGTACTGTTTTTCTAAAGATTTCACTTGTGGGGTACCGTTTTTCTACAGATTTCACTTGTGGGGTACCGTTTTTCTACAGATTGCACTTGTAGGGTACCATTTTTCTACAGATTGCACTTGTGGGGTACTGTTTTTCTAAAGATTGCACTTGTGGGGTACTGTTTTTCTAAAGATTGCACTTGTGGGGTACCGTTTTTCTACAGATTTCACTTGTGGGGTACTGTTTTTCTACAGATTGCACTTGTGGGGTACCGTTTTTCTACAGATTGCACTTGTGGGGTACCGTTTTTCTACAGATTGCACTTGTGGGGTACCGTTTTTCTACAGATTGCACTTGTGGGGTACTGTTTTTCTACAGATTTCACTTGTAGGGTACCGTTTTTCTAAAGATTGCACTTGTGGGGTACCGTTTTTCTAAAGATTTCACTTGTGGGGTACCGAGTTTCTAAAGATTGCACTTTTGGGGTACTGTTTTTCTACAGATTGCACTTGTGGGGTACCGTTTTTCTACAGATTGCACTTGTGGGGTACCGTTTTTCTAAAGATTTCACTTGTGGGGTACCGTTTTTCTAAAGATTTCACTTGTGGGGTACCGAGTTTCTAAAGATTTCACTTGTGGGGTACTGTTTTTCTAAAGATCGCACTTGTGGGGTACCGTTTTTCTACAGATTGCACTTGTGGGATACCGTTTTTCTACAGATTGCACTTGTGGGGTACCGTTTTTCTACAGATTGCACTTGTGGGGTACCGTTTTTCTAAAGATTGCACTTGTGGGGTACCGTTTTTCTACAGATTTCACTTGTGGGGTACCGTTTTTCTACAGATTTCACTTGTGGGGTACCGTTTTTCTACAGATTTCACTTGTGGGGTACCGTTTTTCTACAGATTTCATTTGTGGGGTACCGTTTTTCTAAAGATTGCACTTGTGGGGTACCGTTTTTCTAAAGATTTCACTTGTGGGGTACCGTTTTTCTACAGATTGCACTTGTGGGGTACCGTTTTTCTACAGATTTCACTTGTGGGGTACCGTTTTTCTACAGATTTCACTTGTGGGGTACCGTTTTTCTACAGATTGCACTTGTGGGGTACCGTTTTTCTACAGATTTCACTTGTGGGGTACCGTTTTTCTACAGATTGCACTTGTGGGGTACCGTTTTTTCTACAGATTTCACTTGTGGGGTACTGTTTTTCTAAAGATTTCACTTGTGGGGTTCTGTTTTTCTACAGATTTCACTTGTGGGGTACCGTTTTTCTACAGATTTCACTTGTGGGATACTGTTTTTCTAAAGATTTCACTTGTAGGGTACCGTTTTTCTAAAGATTTCACTTGTGGGGTACCGTTTTTCTACAGATTGCACTTGTGGGTTACCGTTTTTCTACAGATTTCACTTGTGGGGTACCGTTTTTCTAAAGATTGCACTTGTGGGGTACCGTTTTTCTACAGATTTCACTTGTGGGGTACCGTTTTTCTACAGATTTCACTTGTGGGGTACCGTTTTCAGCCACTTGTGGGGTACTCGTACAAAGCGAATGGTACCCCACAAGTAAAATCTTTAGAAAACGGTACCCCACAAGTGAAAACTTTTGAAAAAGGGATAAAAGGACAACAATGCAAGTACCCTGGAACTCCCATCTGCTGAAACGGACGGCCGTATCCCCGTTTGACTGTACTGACCAGGACCACTTGTATCCCACAAGTGAAATATTTAGAAAAAGGGGTAAAAGGACAACAATGCTCCTACCCTACAAGTCCTTTTCCGTGATAGCGTCCGTATCCCCGTATTCCCCGGGAGGGAAGACACAATTCTTCATCGGATTACTGAGGTCAAAGGTCACGTAGGAGTCATTAGAGGTCATTGTTCAATTATGTTGCAAATGTTTCGTTGTCTACAGAATTTGATGGATTTTAATGTAACTTGGATGGAGTGATCCTTGGGTGGGAGGTCATATCAAGTCTTTCGAAATTGGAGGTCAAAGATCATCTAGGGGTCATTTGAGGCCATTTAAAAAAATGCACAAAAATTGACCTTTTTTAAGATTTACAAAACATAGGGATCGACCACGGAAAAAGGCGACCTCATTGTTGTCCCCATTGTATTCAATGTAGCAAGGTCACACATACTGGAATTTGTATTCCTGTGGAGACATTTTTTTGTTCTCGTGTAGTAAAGTTTTCGAGTTTGAAATTGAAGTTTCAAAATGCTCTTATTTTAACCAGAATTAATTTCCTGGGCTGAAATTTGGACTAAATATCCCTTTTCTAAAACTCTTCCATTTGCGACAGATCAACCTACCTTGGAAATTCCTAGTTTTTGAGTAAAATCCATATATCTATTTCGTGAAAATCTTGTGGAGACGTATTCATCTATAGAAATTGTCCTGTGGAGACGTATACAATCTTTTGTTCCCTATTGTGTGCATGTCTCCGTAAGGTAGTAAATTCCAGCACTACTGTATGCGAACCCACCATCTGTGTGCACACAAAGTTTTCACCTTTGCAGGTTTGAACTTTGACCTTCTGTTCATCTCCCCGTTTATAAAAAAAAAACCCAGACATTGCACCGATTAACCCAGGACGCAGTAGAAACTACAAGTCGATGGGAGACCAGTCGATGGCCCTGAATGTGGAGCATTTGATCACCAAGCCGTTACAGCCCGGCAAGTACCAGATCAGGGCGTTGTGTAAACTGGAGTTCCTGCAGATGCTGCGCAACCCCAGAGTGAGTTGAAACGTTACAATCTGTGGAAATCGCAGTGTTGTAGTCCAGCTGCTTGTGAAGTCCATCGCAAGTCAATCACAAGTCAGTTGTAAGTCGTCTAGTCCCAACTCAATTCCCAATCAAACGGTGACAAAGGCTTTCCTTTCTCATCGTTGACTTGTGAATTGACTTGTGATTTAATTGTGAAAGCAGTAGCTAAAAGAAATTGTATTCGTGGAGTGGGGGGAGGGGTCTCTTTTGTTAAATCTTTGAAACCAGACGTGCCTAAATGGTTTCAATTGACGATTGAATTGTAGATCGAAATGTGTGAAATAATTCACTGTGCCCATGTAGAAGTATATGGCACAAAACAGTTGTTTGATTGTACTTTTGTAACGTCATCAAAATGGGCTTGTAGCAGATGCTCCTGACGGCTTTTGTAGTTAAGAATCTAGGCATAATTTACACATCTTTTGAAACTAAAAATAAAAAAATCGGACGAGGGGTTGTCGCGCGGCGAAAAATTTTCCGCCGTGTACACAGAGCAGAATTGCCATTCATACATATGAATAATTAATTGGCCATAATTCCAAAACCCTTTGACCTATGGTCATGAAATTTCTTGGGTATGTTCATGAAGAGTTGCTCTATGCATGTACTGAGTTTCAAAATTTTTCGTCACTCGATGGCCGAGATCTTACGCCCCCCCTCCCCCCCCCCGGCTGAGAGATGGTCAAAATAACCCGGCCCTTTTAGGGTTAAAGCTGTATAAAAGCCTGCAAATGCAAACAAGTAAGCTTACATGTATTTGTTTAATACAGGGCATCATATTCCTTAACAATTTATTCAGAAAAAAAATGTAAAATTTTGAAAAAGCATGATTTTACCAATAGGCCATCATCCTGGGGGTTTGGTCTGTACCAAATGAGGGGAATAATGCTCATTGTGATTTTTGGCAAGGTATGCACCCCTGAAAATATGTGATAGCATTGCAGCAGGGGCAGCCTTTTGAGTGCTATCACTTTTTTTTTTTAAATGGCGGCCTAATGGCGACCATTATACCAAATGGCGACCATTATAATTGATCCAGTAACAAGCATATTGGCGGCCAAATTAAAAGTGATAACACCCAAAAAACTGCCACCGCTCACACTGCAAAGCAATCACCCATTTTCCAACTCTAGATGTGCATACCTTGCCAAAAATCGCTATGAGCATTGCTCCTTTCGATCATTTGATACTGGTGGCCCAATTTTTGGACCGAAGCTGACAGCCTACAACTATAAAAATAGTTATAATATGAGTCATTGAAGTAAGTTTTTCGGTATTTTTTACACAAAAAAGTGTCGTTAATGTCATGAAACATTGCAGTCGTACGTCACAGGTTTTTTTAAAGGGACAGAAAGTACTTTAAGTTGTTCTTATTTCATCTTGCAGACGTACATATTCCGTCTGCTCTTTCCCATCGTCCTCCTGGTAGCGTGTGCCATTGTGACCGGCGTGGTGCAACCTGATGACGGTATAAACAAAGACCAGCCGGAACTGGCCCTTGACCCCACACTGTACCTGAAAACAACTGCCTCATCGCCGCTGAGTGGTCTGACTAAGTTGCTGTACCAGAACAACTTGACTAGTGGTCAGGGTAAGGCAAAAAGCCTCCCCCCCCTCAAAAAAAAATGTAGTAGTTTCCATACCTTAAAGCTATAGTCCATCATTTGCAGCCATCCGAAAAGTAACTGGCGTAATTATTGTTGAAAAACATACTTGGTTGAAAGATAGTAAGGGGACTAAACTCCCTGTGAAATTATTCTTTCTGGCAAGCTGTCATTTTGAAGTAATCAACGAAAGAAGGCCTTTCCAACGGTGCCTCTTAAGACGCACCGTAGGAAAATTTAAATTAATAGTTCGTTTTGTTATTCGGCGAAGCGTGCGCAAGCACTGGCAAGACGTACACACGCACTGGCAAGACGCACACACGCGCGCGGTTGCTATAATTCATCGGATCAGTGCGCGACATCGCGTATAGCTGCAGTCGGCTCAGTGAGAACGCGTCTCGGACGCTGAATTCAGGCCCAATTCAAAACATGATTCAGCAACTTTTGATTTGAAATTGAGATCCTAGAATGCTGTTTTTCTCGGAATATACAGCTGAAGCTGAGCTGAAACTTCATCAGGTTAGTTGTTCAGTATCCTTCATTAGATTTTGAACACTTTTGTTGCTTCAAACGAACAAAATGCACAAATTACAAATGATGGACTATATCTTTAAATAATTGCTATGACGTCACAGTATTGTTAAAAGTGTGGATTGGGAACTTTGAATCTGTTGCTCTGGTCAAGTAGTGTGGATTCGGAACGATTAAACCATTGCTATGACGTCACACTATTGCTAAAAGTGTGGATTCGGAACTACAAATCTGTGACACTGGTCACAAAGCCTGGATTCGGAATTACGAATCTTTAGTAAGGTGTTACGAATCCACACTTCAAACGTGTCGGACAATTGTTCTCCTTAATGAGCATTAATAGGAGACGCATCCTTGGCAATTTCTTTAGTAAATCAATTTTTTTTATTCGGCGAAGCGCAGGCAAGCGTTGCTGTTATTCGTCGGTTCAGTGCGCGACATGGCGTAGCTGCAATAGGCTCAGTGACTACGTGTCTCGGACGCTGAATTCAGGCCCAATTCAAAACATGATTCAGCTGAATCGAGATCTTAGAATGTTGTTTTTTCTCGAAATAAACAGCTGAAGCTGAGCTGAAACTTCATCAGGTTAGTTGTTCAGCACCCTTTAGATTTTGAGCACGTTTGCTGCTTCAAATGAACAAAATGCACACATTACAAATGATGGACTGTGCCTTTAAGTGTAGAGCACAAATTTAACAATCAGAAAGATTAATCGTTATACAGCAATGTTCATTGAAAAGTTTCAACAGTAGCATTGCCATTTAAAGAGTAATAATTAACTAAAAAATAAGATGAATATGGATAAGTACAACCGGTAATCTAAAAATGCTACCATCTCCTCTGCAGACATCGAGCTTCTCAAGAAGGAATTTGAACGCATGAAATTGATCAGTGACGAAATCACCGATATGAGTCTAGTGAATTCAAAAGCTCCGCGTAGCATGGCTACTGTGGCAAATGACTTGGGTACAACTGTAAGTACATAAAGTATATGCACTACTATCGTTACATCTAGATAGGCATCTCCATAACTGTGATTTATTTATTAGCGGTAAAACTATTGGATTATTATGGCTGTAAGAAGGCATTCACTTTTTCAGCTATCTTTTGGTTTTGGGTAGGTATTACAAAGATTGAGGGAATTTTTTGAAAAAGAAACCCACAGCTCATTAGCTATTTAACAATACAGGGTGAGTAAAAAAAAATAACGAAACCCAAATGTCGGGACCATTGTTTTACTGAAGTTCTACATGTAGCACTTTCAAAATCTAGGATATAAAAGCCCAATTCATAAGCTTTCTTTCAGTACAAGAATCATTCAAATCACTCATGTACTTTTCAAGTTACGGAATGTTAAACACAACCACCGTTTTACAGTTCTGTCCACAGATCACAAAATGCTAAGTATTCTTCAGCAAAAGGAAAACAAATCACGTAGGGATGTGTGTGAATTGTTTTCGTTGTGCTAAAAGAACGCACAGCTTTTCTGTGATCCGTGGACAGAACATTGAAATGGTTGTTGTGTTTAAAATTTCGTAACTTGAAAAGTACATGAGTGATTTGAATGATTCTTGTACTAAAAGAAAGCTTATGAATTGGGTTTTCATATCCTAGATTTTGAAAGTGCTACATGCAGAACTTCACTAAAACAATGGTCCCGACATTTGGGTTTCTTTTTTTTGGACTCACCCTGAGCTTGTTGACTGCTGTGATGTGGGATATTACGTTTTGAACACCCGAGGGGCGCATAACACAAGAGGCGAAGCTGAGGGTTCTGCATGTATGCGCCCTGAGGAGGTTAGAAACGACATATCCTACATCACTGCAGTCAACAATTGCTTTGTTATATTGTGCCAATAACTCAGATAGATAAATGGTTGTAACGTACTGTGTGAGAAATAAATTGAATCACTGCGATGTAACCTTTGATAAGGCCAAAAAAAATAAGTATCCGGTATCTGGTATGCGCGTGCGTCGCCGTAGCCATGCGTGTCGGCAAAATGAAAAAGGTTTTTTTTCACTGAAAGATGATGTCTCAAAACCACCAAACTCACTGGTTTGACTGGAATCCTGCTGCTGCACAATTTTAACGTGTTGTTAGATGGGGTTATGATCGAGAATAAGCTTTATGTGGCCTCTCTGGACTCCCATATATTTGCACTAAGTTTAGTCGGGCACCATTTCGCAGTCATCCGCCGACATTTGAAGCAAAAAAACACAGGTAAAAAAAAAAAAAAAGCCGCATCGCCGCACCACTTTTTGGGCAAGCTCCATACCAGAAACGGGAGACTTTTTTTTTTTGGCCTAACTGAACTACGTCAAAAACTTCAACATTTGATCAAAATTTAAAATTCACATATTCAAACATTTCAAATGTTTCAAATTCACTCCTATTGAATGAAAAATGCACTGACATGTGAATTTTCAAACTTTCATAATATTCAAATGTATTCATGGTATTAGAATTGACTTGGGTTGAATAGAAAAATCAATGGAAATTTGAAGTTTCAAATGTAATCATATATTCAAATGTATGTAGATTATTCAAATTGACTTTGCTCAATGCCGGTTTGAACCACCCCCAGGGCAATGCACCAGAGTTCCTGGCACTGTATAACAGCACAGCCCAGCACTCTATCCCCGTCATCTTAGGGTTGCTGAACAACGCCATCGCCCGCCTGCAGGCGCCAGGCAAGGATTTGAACGATGTGATCATCGCCAGCAAGCCCTTTCCTAGGCAGATTTTCGGAGCGACGATCAGTTACACCTTCCTCTTGGTTTTGCTAGTGGCTTTATCCGTCAGCCTGCTCCCCATAGGATTTATCACTGAGGTTGTGAAACTAAGACAGGTATGTGAGGAATAAAAACCTCTTTTTATCCCCCTGGCTTTTAAAGCTATAGTCCATCATTTGTAATTTGTGCATTTTGTTCGTTTGAAGCAACAAAAGAGTTCAAAATCTAATGAAGGATACTGAGCAACTAACCTGATGAAGTTTCAGCTAAGCTTCAGCTGTATATTCCGAGAAAAACAGCATTCTAAGATCTCAATTTCAAATCAAAAGTTACTGAATCATGTTTTGAATTGTTTTGAATTGCAGCTATACGCGACGTAGCGCACTGATCCGACGAATTATAACAACCGCGCGCGCGTGTGCGTCGTTCCAAACCTTGTGCGCGCTGCGCTGAATAACAAAACGAACTACTAATTTAAATTTTCCTACGGTGCTTCTTAAGAATCACCGTTGGAAATGCCTTCTTTTGTTGATTACTTCAAAATGACAGCTTCCCAGAAAGAATAATTTCACAGGGAGTTTAGTCCCCTTACTATCTTTCAACCAAGTTTGTTTTTCAACAACAATTACGCCAGTTACTTTTCAGATGGCTGCAAATGATGGACTATAGCTTTAAGCCAAGAAAGGGGGATTTCGCAGGTGTATTCATTTCCTTCTGTTTGTCTTTGTGTTTCGTGTTTATGGTGTAAATCGAGGACCCACACGTGCAACATCATAGATAAATCGAGGACAGAAACCGAATCGAGGACTCTTTGGTTGGAAAACGTGTATGCAATCAATGAGAGCTGTTGCAAGTATAAACAAAGGAAAAGGGAAGAGGAACAATAGAAAATCCTCAATTTACACCATAGACAAACCTATGTGGCCGTGTGTCTGTCTGTACTTGTTCTACATAACCCCCGAGGACAGACACACAAAGGGAGAACAACAGATCCTTTCAGTCCTTGGGAGTTGGGTCTCAAAATGGTCCTCTGTGTTCAAAATGGTCCTCTGTAGTAGGTTTGTGTGCTTAGTCTATGGGAGAGTGTTATATTACAGGGACAAAGGTAAACACAAAGCATTGTCCTCGGGAGTATAGTAAAACAAGAGTCTGTGTCCGCGTTTGTTTATGGTGTAAATCGAGGACACACACGTGCAACATCATTGATGAATTGAGGACAGGAACCAACTCGAGGACGACCTCGATTAGAAAATGTGTTTAAAACCAATGAGAGCTGTTGCCAAAAAAGTTTGAGTATAAACAAAGTTTATCTCTGTTGTATCTGCAAAAACAAAACAGGAGAAGATACGCACCCAGCTACGCGTCTCGGGGGTCAAAATGACCCATTACTGGGCCTCCCACCTGCTGATAGACGGCAGCCAGCTGTATCTGATTGCTGCCGTTGGTATCGTCGTCAATCTGGCCACAGGCTTCGCAGTGGGTGGCTCCGCGTTCACCACAGCAGGGGCAATCGTCTGCCTCATCGTCTTCATAATCTTCTACATTCCCTTGGAGGTCCTTTTCTGCTTCTGTCTCAGCTTTCTCTTCAGGGAGTTCAAGACGACCCAGTCGATGGCTCAGTTTTTTTACATATTCGTAAGTACATATGTAAATTCAGAAAAATAGACCATTATTGAGTACTTTTCGAGTACTGCTATTCCAAAATTTTTAGTAAAATTAGCGTGTTCGATTACTCTCCCCGCGCTTTCTTGTGCCTCTAAATCGGGGAAAGTTGTACATGTGCAATACATGAGAGTAAATGAACGATCTCGGGTCACTCGACGACATACGAGTGACAAACGTGGTCGTAATGAATAACAAACGTTAAATATCGGGGCCCATTTTTAAAGTGAATTGGTTTTAAATAATGAAAGGTTTGCGCAAACACCATTTGCGAATAATTTCGAGGGATTTGTTTGTACCTGGGAACTTGTTAGCATCCTGTATTGGTAGGGTGTAGGCCAGTTCCATGCCGTGACTGCGGGAGACGACACTCTCCGGGACGTGGGTTGTCACCAGCTCCGTGATTTTGTCAATGTGAGCGCTCTTCTTTACCACCATGCTAGGAAAAGCAAAACAAAATAAAATAAAAAATAAATAAATTACAACTCACACTAAAAGGATGATTGTACTTTTTATATGGAAAGAATGTTGCAACCTGACGCCACTTTTTTCTTCATATGCCGTCTCCATAAAGGGGAGTCATTGCAAAAAATGTTGAAAAGACATGAATCTGGGACTGAGAAACATTTCCAATTTTTTTAAGGAAACACAATCGCTGAAGTGGCGTCTAGATACTGCATTCTTTCCTACTTGATTGTTTTTAAACCATCAGCACTCATAAAATAATGAGGAAGATTCTCGCTGTAGCATCAATTTTCAAATGAATAGGGCTGTCCATTTCCGAGTTTTTAGTATTCGATTACTCAAAACTGCATTTGACCAAATATTCGGATATTCAAAACTGCCAGCTGCACACTGCGTACTGCGCCGGTACAAAGTTGCACAAAGAGAATAGCAGTTAAAATTTGTGTTTCGGCAACTGATATGAGGCCGAGTATTTTGTGATAAGTAAGATTTGAGGCTTTGCATGGCGGAGATACTAAATAATGAAAGGGTTTGCGGAAACACCATGTGGGAATAATTTCTCAACTTAGAGAACGGTTCTGAAAAGAACCAGAGGTATAAAGTCGGTTTTTGACAAATCGGCCATTGTCAAACATTCCCACATCAACGACCACAAAGTTGATTGGGATGCGGCCGAACTCATCGCACCGATCCAGTTCTGGCATCCAAGACGCATACGGGAAGCCATTGAGATCCGCAAGCACAACACAGTTCCGCAAGACATCGGGTTTCACCTCAACGACATCTGGCTCCCACTTCTCCAGACTGATGGGTCTCCTATACCCTAGGTCCTCAGCTACCACCTTAGACTGATGGGTCTCCTATACTCTAGGTCCTCCCTCTACTGAGACTGCAACCCTACTGTTCCACTTCAGTGGGCACCAAGCTTGCTCTAGGATCCCGTCTACTTGGCATCCTCACAGGATGCAACTTCACACTTCATTGATTTCGCCTTTTGCTAAGTATTCACTTTCTTAGAGTTTAGGCACTCTCCTGAAGACGGTCAGAGCACACTGACCGAAACGTCCAGTTTATACCTCTGGTTCTTTTCAGAACCATTCTCTTAGTTGAGAAATTATTCGCACATGGTGTTTCCGCAAACCTTTAATTTTTTAGTATCTCCACCATGCAAAGCCTCAAATCTTACTTGGTTTTAAATAATTATATTGAAGGTGACATGCTTGACTGAAGCCATGCTGCTTCAGACACACTGTTAACACAATGTCTCAATATCCACCCATCGTCTAGAGTTGTTTTTGAACTTCCCAACGCTGGCCCACCGCTGGCGCATTGCCGCACATATTACCCGCAAACTTTCCGGTGAGCTTGCCTGCAAGCTTGCTGCAAGTTTGCCGCAAGTTTGCAAGCTTGCAAGCTTGCCGCGAGCTTGCAAGCTTGGCTGCAAGCTTGCTGCTAGCTTGCTTGCAAGCTTGCTGCTAGCTTGATGCAAGCTTGCAAGCATTTCTGTAAGGGATGGGAGCCATGTTTTAGCACAGTCTTATTTTTTATGGGATACTTTAATACCCAAGTAACTGGCTCGGCAGGTCAGTTGCTTGGGCCAGGCTCAAGTAAGCGCGAGACGTCAGTTGAGAGTTTAATCGAACGCAGTCGCGCTTGCATGAGTGAACGCGGAAAGTAATTGAACACGCTAAATGTATTTTCATGTATTCAAATACCTTAGTTTATTTTTCTGTAACACTGACTTCATTTGCTGTCTACTGTCAATGTTTCTCATGCATTGTTCACAACAAACAGCTAAAGTACTTGGAAAATACTCGACTTCAACTCCAGTTTGAACCCTGACAGGAAACATGCTGCTTGGGTTCTTGGGCAAGACACTTTACTGCAATTGACTCTCTCTCCAATATCAACGGGTATCTGTGAGGATAGAAGCTTCATCACGCTGACCTCAAGCTTCTGCAAGAAAGTGGTCTCATGGCCTGATGAACGGGGATAATATTCTGGAACGCCTTGGCTAGATATAAGTCCCATGCTACCGGTTGTTTGTTTCTCCATTACACTTGCAGTTACCCGTCATTCTGATGACTATCGTACTGATATTTGATGCCACAAACTCCCAGGCTGTTGCCATGATTATGCATTACGTAATGTGCGTCCTGTGGCCACCCTACATTATCTTTGGTGAGATGTATTACTTCAATCAGGTGAGAGAGGCTGGGAAAACAAAAATTTACTGATTATAAATATTTGTTGATTTAAAGGTAGCGTCCATCATTTGTAATTTGTGCATTATGTTCGTTCGAAGCAACAAAAGTGTTCAAAATCTAAAGAAGGGTGCTGAACAACTAACCTGATGAAGTTTCAGCTCAGTATATGCTGTATATTCCGAGATAACAATATTCTAGTATCTCGATTTCAAATCAAATGTTGCTGAGACATGTTTTGAATTGGGCCAGAATTTCAGCGTCCGAGACACGTTCTCACTGAGTTGATTGCAGCTGCGCGATGTCGCGCACTCAGCTGACAAATTATAGCGACCGTGCGCGTGTGTGTGTCGTCGAAAAAAGAAACAAACTACTCAAGGAAATGTCCAACAATGCGTCTCTAGAGGCATTGTTGGTAAGGCCTTCTTTCATTGATTTCTTCAAAACGACAGCTTGCCAGAAAGAATAATTTCACAGGGAGTTTAGTCCCATTACTGTCTTTAAACCAAGTATGCTTTTCAACAATAATTACTTCAGTTACTTTTTGGATAGCTGCAAATTATGGACTGTACCTTTAACAGTTGATGACTGCTGTGATGTGGGATATGGCAGGTTTTTTAACACCCAAGGCTGAGGGTGCTTTACGCCCCGAGGCAAGGGCGGATCCAGAACACAATTTTTTGGGGGGCCAAAAAAAATTTTGGTCCCCCAAAAAAGTGGGTCAAATTTTGATTCTAGATGCTCTGTGGTGCGATCTGAGGCAATTTCTGACCACTTTAACTAATGTTTTTTTGAGGAAAAGAAGGTGGTGTACTCATTGCCTGCCTTTATTGCGATGTCACATAAATAAAAATTAAAAAAAATTGGTTTCGGTTTTTTTTTGGGGGGGGGGCCATGGCCCCCTTTGGCCCCCCCCCCCCTGGATCCGCCCTTGCCACGAGGGGGTTAAAAACGTCATATCCCACATCACAGCAGTCAACAGTTGTTTTGTGATATCATGCCTAAAGCCAAAAAGATCGTAACTTACTAGAAATGAAATGAGTCACTGCATTGAGCCCTTTTGATGCCTGCGAGCTTTACTGGGTCACTTTAAACTGCCATTCATAAATACCGAGGACAGTTTACCCATTCCTATTGGTCGAGAGCCCGTCACGTGGATGGTTTTAAACGGTTGGCAAAACACCAACTGGTTTGAAATACTTTTTTTTCCCAGTGTCCAATGAATTTGGACTCGGGTCCCTTTGACCCTTTTATTGGTTGAACCCGATCACAAGTGACCACTCACTCTCCATATTATCTTCATGTAGGTATGCGCAATACTACACACTGGCACTGCTAAGTTCTCCAATCTCCATAAAAGGAGATTTTTAGTACTACTCGCAAGAGGCACATACCATAACCATAGCTAGAGGGGTGTTTAGCTAAAGGGTCCCTTTGACCCTTTTATTGGTTGAACCCGATCACACGTGACCACTCACTCTCCATATTATCTTCATGTAGGTATGCGCAATACTACACACTGGCACCGCTAAGTTCTCCAATCTCCATATAAGGAGATATTTAGTACTACTCGCAAGAGGCACATACCATAACCATAGCTAGAGGGGTGTTTAGCTAAAGGGTCCCTTTGACCCTTTTATTGGTTGAACCCGATCACAAGTGACCACTCACTCTCCATATTATCTTCATGTAGGTATGCGCAATACTACACACTGGCACCGCTAAGTTCTCTAATCTCCATATAAGGAGATTTTTAGTACTACTCGCAAGAGGCACATACACGTACCATAACCATAGCTAGAGGGGTGTTTAGCTAAATGGTCCCTTTGACCCTTTTATTGGTTGAACCCGATTACACGTGACCACTCACTCTCCATTATTATCTTCATGTAGGTATGCGCAATACTACACACTGGCACCGCTAAGTTCTCCAATCTCCATATAAGGAGATTTTTAGTACTACTCGCCAGAGGCACATACCATAACCATAGCTAGAGGGGTGTTTCATAAAACATGCAGTAAAATGGTTGAACAAAATCATTGGAAATTTATAATTTTTGAATTGTTTTGACTTCTTGAACGAACACTATTTACGAATGGGTATGAATATGTGCTTGGCTGGTATTAAACAAGTATCCTTGATCTACCAGTTTTCTAAGAATAATCTATGGTTTTTTGTTTTGTTTTTAATCAACTTAGATCTATGATGGTGCGAAGTTCAACAAACAATTGGATCAGCTCACCTTCGGTTACTATCTTGACTTTAATCAAAAAATTCTGCCAACCATTCTCTGTGTGAGTAGCACGTTTGTCATTCTCAGTGTGTTCCACTTTAATACACAAAGAAATCGCTGTCTGTGGCCATAACATTTGCCCAGACTCTAATTTCTGGGTAGTGTATGTAATAGACCACGGGGAATACTGTGGTCTATTTCGCGTGAACAGATTTGCTGATTAATTAGGCAAGACCCCGCCTCTTGACCTCCCAGATTTTGACCAATCAGCGGGCGCTTTCTATATCGGGTCATTCACCCGTTGCGCGTCACATAGACAATGGATTTAAAAAAAAAACGTGTCACGCGCTCTGTATCATGTTACACGATATGGGGCCGGTTGTTGTGGTATTACAAAGCACTGCATTCGAATTGACCAATCAAACCATTTATTCCTGATTTGGGAAGGAAATGACGTCACGATTGAGTAAAGTCGACTCCGATTGGCTGGCGCGTGGCTTGCATAAATTTGCATGTCGGGAGATGTCAGACGTTCTCCAGGATTTGGCTCTGTGGATAATGGGTGATACTCAGACTAATTTCTGGGTTGGTGCCAGCCTTAAGGCAAAATTAAAAAAACAAAAACATGTTAGGCCAAAACAAAAAGTCTCCGGTTTCTGGTATGCGCGCGCGTCGCCGTAGCCATGCGCGTCAGCAAAATGAAAAAGTTTTTTTCCAATGAAAGATGATGTCTCAAAACCGCCAAACTCACTGGTTTGACTGGAATCCTGCTGCTGCACAATTTTAACGTGTTTTTAGATTGGGTTATGGTCGAGAATAAGCTTTATGTGGCCTCTCTGGACTCCCATATATTTGCACTAAGTTTAGTCGGGCACCATTTGCAGTCATCAGCCGACATTTGAAGCAAAAAAATCAGGTAAAAAAAAAAAAAAGCCGCGTCGCCGCACCACTTTTTGGGCAAGCTCCATACCAGAAACCGGAGACTTTTTTTTTTGCTTTAAGCGTGCTTCCCTTTTGGAGGCCGCCTCCTTCTTTTTTTTTAATTGAAAAGAAAAAAACTGGAAAAAAAAGGATAAATTTTAAACATTGACATCATGTTGGCCTCTTTGTCTGTTGCATGTAGTCCATATAAAGCTGGTATGTCATTTCCTGAGTTCAAGTGGCCGCCATTTAAAAAAAACCAACTTGCGGCCATCTTGAAAAATAGCCCAGCCTGTCTTTTTGGAAAAAGGGTCGGGCGGCCATTTTGGGGAAAGATGCTACTACATTTGCCTCCCTCCACCTTGGAGTATAGATGGGTACCTTAGTCGAGGACCGATTGAGCGCTGATATCAGCTGCCGCGTCCCATGGCCTTATGAACGGGGTAATAATTGTAAAGTGCTTTGAGATTGTTGATACGATGAAAAGCGCTATATAAGCACTACGATTATTAGGTTTAGTCTACCTATCTTTTTTCAAAGGACAAATCTGCGATGGCCCTTTAGCCATATATATCATTTGTAAGACATATACTCTGACTGTGTGCCAAATGCCATGCTTGTATCATCAAAGGCATTATTCCCCCCAAAAACGTCCCCTATCTGCCCCATTAAGAGATTCTTTAGAAGGTCTAAACAAAATTGCTGACTGAGCAATTGTTTTTGGATGAAGACCGTTTGACGATCAGGTTTATGTATTGCAGGTCGTGGGTGAGCTCGTACTGTTCACCTTCTTGCTGTACGTCCTGGAGATCCGCTCAACCGGAGGTTCACTGTTGGAGGAATGGAAGTGCAGGTAGATCCTTGAGTACTTCCTGGCAGGGGCGTCAATCGCTTCTCAAAAGTGGGGGGACATACCTTGATCAGAACTGATGCGAAGCTCGAAGCCCTTACGGCGTGGGGTTCGGGGCCCGCTTAAGGGCCCCGAAAAAAATTTGATTCTAGATGCTCTGTGGTGTGATCTGAAGCAATTTCTTACCACTTTTCTCCATGCTTTAACTAATATTTTCGTAGCAAAAATAATTATTTGAACATCGTTTTCGAGGTTGGAGTCATTGAATTGGCTACCAGAATTCTAAGCTACATGCGTGGGGTTCTGGGCCCACTTAAGGGCCCCGAAAAAATTTGGATTCTAAATGCTCTGTGGTGCTATCTGAGGCAATTTCTGACCACTTTAACCAATATTTTTTAAGCAATAGATACATTGAAGTACATAATAGGGCCCTGTAAATGAGACACGAGTTCAAAATCTGGGGGGGGGGGGACATTTGATATTGTGTCCCCCACCCTTCAAAAAGTGGGGGGGGGGACATGTCCCCCTGTCCCCCCCAGGATTGACGCCCATGCTTCCTGGTCAATCAGGGAGCCATTCACAACACAGGCTGGTTCAAAATAAAGGAAATCCACTTTTGACAGCAATTTTCACCTAGAGTTAACTTATTTCAATTTTTTTCACATAAAAAAACATAAAAATTTACATAAAATTACATAAATAGTAAAGTATAGCCCTTTAACCATGCATGGTGAAAAAAAGCTCAGTGAAAATCGCAAGAATGGTGATATTATGCTAATTTGAATACTAGAAAGCACTCAAGAGGGCGCAAACCTCTGCCAAAGCAAAACAACTTCCAAACAGTGAAACATTTTACTGTAAGCCAACTGTGCAATTATCCTTCATTTGTGCAATTTCTTTAGTATTTTGAAATATTCATGGTGCTGAAAGGGTTTAAACTTGGACTAAAAAGGATGAGATACCTGTTCAGGTAGAAATTAAAAGGTATTTCCTTCAAATTCATTTGCACTCTTGTCTCATTATGTGCCATGTTGTTTGTAAGGATTAGGAAATGCTCAAATAAATACGGTGAAAATCCTTTACTGTGGTAATTTTTTTGTGTACAGGATGAAAAATAACTACTTTTACATAATTGGCATTTTCTCAGCAACCCAAAGTGCTATTTTCATGATTTTTTTTTTCAGTATTTAAAAGAAAAAGCTGTCAGCTGATACCAAAACCATAAAAATCCACCGATCCCTTTTTTTTTTAAAGAGGCAAATGTTTTGGGGTTGCATTTTTTTGGGGTCACCCTGTAGGCTTGTCTAGTCTGTTCTGTTATCAAACTTTTCTCTATACCGTAGAAAGAGGCAAGGCGGGGCCTTCAACAGAGACATCATTGAGAACGAGGACCCCGATGTCAAGGAAGAGAGGGAGAAAGTCCAAGCAATCTTTGACCAAGGCCTTAATACTGAGGTCAGTCCTTCAGTGGTGTTTGACTTAGCGTTGGGCGGTTCCAGCATTTCCGGAGCAGGTTCCGGTTCTCTAAGGGACTGTGGCCATTCAGCCCTGGTATGAAAAGGGCCCCCGGGTACCCGTCCGGTCCAAAGCCAGTCCGGTCTTCAGCCCAGTCTCGTCCGGTACATGGTCCTGTCTGACCAGAAGTTTTGAAGTCAGTCAGGCGCATCAATTTATTGCCCTGCAGAGAACGTCCAGAGCAGAACAATAGCAGACTTACCGGATTAAAGATAAAATCCTTCCATAATGCCTTGGTAATTTACGGTCCCATTGTGTGCGAAACCGCATGGCAGGGGTTTTGATCTGTGCCGACGAAAGTGTTCTATTGTTTCGCGATGAGAGATGAAAACCACAAGCGGGTTTCTTCTGGGATATATTACATGTGTCAATGCTTGCAAACAATAGACCCCAGGATAGAGGAGTTCCTGATTAGCAACAGGACCAGCTCCTGGGCCGGTAACTGGGACGGTACGAGAGGACTTCTTGGGAGGGGACGAGCTAACCGGGGGGCCCTTTTCATACCGGGGCTGAATGGTCACGGGCCCTAAACAGAATCGGAACCGGCTCCCGAAAAATTCAGTGAAAAACATAAGCCCATGAAATTCCATGTAAAGTGAACGGTGTCACCTTGTGAGGTCCGTGCTCCACAGATTGCGGCATGCAATACCTGTTATTCCACGATGTCTTTGGTTTCAAATGTGTGTCTTTTTCCTGTGTGACTATGGGGATTGTGTTATTGACAAAAATTATACTCGTTATTCTGTCCCTAATTGCCTATGATTTTAATAATTGCGGCAACCGCCGAGCGTGTATCTCTCCAAGATGTATCTGAGTCTGTGCAGTTTTCCCTGCCATTGTTTTGACTAGCCAGAGTGAACGTCCCTTCGCTTCTGGTGAATTTCTCCCTTCTAGAAAAAATCCTGGCGACGCCCGTGGCTATTAGCCTATAGTGATGTGACACAAAGGCACATTATACATATACAAAGGTGTTATGTTTCTCCTTTTTTTTTCCCCCTTCTGAATTTGCCTCCAATTGCTCAGAAATGTGTCGTGGCAGCATCAGGCATCCGCAAAGAGTTTGATCGGTCCAAGGGCTGCTGCCGGAAGCAACACAGCAACAAGTTGGCCGTCCGTAACCTGTCACTGAGCGTGAATGAAGGGGAAGTGTTCGGCCTACTGGGACCCAACGGAGCTGGTAAAACCACTTCCATGAACGTCATCACAGCAGATACTGAAGCTACCAAAGGACAGGTCGGTGTTTGATGAAATATTTTGGGAACAGCACGGCGTCAAGTAAACGTCCTTCCTTTTCCCTGTCTCATCTTTTAATACTAATACTAATAAAAACTGGATTTTTAAAAGTGCACATATCAACCAAACAAGCTGTCGAGGCACGGTACATTATTATTACCCCTGCTCAGCGGGCCAATGAAAAGAAAAACTACTGATCATTTTTTTCTTGAAAATGTGGGGTATGAGGCTATTGCCTATGGAGCGGAACAGAAAATGACCGTTCGTGACAGACCTTTGGTTGTTTATCTCAACATATCTCGAGATCCCAATGTCAGAACACACTGGGGGTAGCGGTTTTGTAAAAAAGATGAAGTTCTCTTTTCATTCATATAAGGCTCGATTTCATTGGTTAAGAAACTGCTGATCATTTTTCATGACTGGTTTTCTTGCAGAGGTCAGTTGTGTGAGTGCACATGGCCAGCGTGTTGCATGTGCTATGCAAATCGCAAGGTCAATTGGGCAAGCTGTGGAGCTGTATCACACACATTGATCTTTTGCGCGTTTGGGCCCCAAACTTTTTGTTATGTAGACAACGACCGTAAACATTCCGCACGCTAAGTGCAACACAAATTCGTTGGGAGTCCGCAGCTAATTCCGAGATCATATCGAGCTTGTTATTTATCAAATTGACTGTTTAGTGTCATGTCCTGTCCCCCCTGTTCAGGTCCAAATTGCCGGCTATGACATCACCTCCTCTCTGAGCGAAGCCTTCCAAGTCATGGGCTACTGCCCTCAACACGATCCGCTGTACTCCCATGTGACAATGCAGGAACACCTGGAGGCCTATGGGTTGATTAAGGGCATTCACCCTACCGACGTCGAGACCGTAGCTCAGCAGTGAGTAGCCTCACATTCGCAGGGTGCATGAATTCTAGAGGGTGCCATTTTGTAAGGGCCCTGTCACACTTCTGCGTATCCTAATTCCTTATGAGTTGCGCATTGACATTTTTTTCATAGGCAGTCGTACGCACAATACGCACCTCATATGCATCTCTATCGTTTTGTGTAAGTTTTATGTACGCAGGCATACACACGGTATGGCCCAGTACGCTGGATAGTTTTGGGCATGCACAAAACTACGCTGCGTACGCTGTTACGCAGGTCATGAGTTATAAATACGCAACACATCGGTCGAGCGCGGTACGAGTACGCTATGTGTTCATGGGGGACAAGCTGTTCATACGCGGTAATACACTGACCTCCTATATACTATGCGCAGATACAACGCACGCTGAACGAACTCCTATCGAATGCCGACGTATTGCACGAATTAGTACCGCTCGTCCTGCGAGCGGGCAGCGCATTGTACTTATTCGTAACTTATGAGAAATGCACAGATACGCAGTGGATGCGCTGAATTCGTTACTTGTTCGCTAGATGTGCGTCGCACATAAGTCAAAGTAATCAAAAAATTTCGACGTTTTTGATCGTACGGCTGCGTATTGAAAAATTTTGATAAGGAACTCATAAGGAATTGGGATACGCAAAAGTGTGACAGGGGCTTAACATTTTATTCAGAGCTGGCCGTTATTTGTGTCAGACGACGCAGGTTTGAAAAAGTTGAAAAAGCAAAACTTGAAAATGCACCTGAACAGAAAACCCCTGAAGTGAACAGTGTCTTCCTGAAATGGCATCATAGCAAAAGCGCCCTCGTTTGTCAGATATTCCCAAGTAAGATTCATGCCAAGTATTTTTTTTTACTTCAAAATTTGCCTGTGAATTCAGCAGATACAATATTTTACCCTACCAGGAATGTTAGAGATAAGGTGATTTTAGTGAAAATGTGTCAATAAAGCATTTACTTTCATGACCACTTTACCGTTTGGTTTCTGGGTCACTTTTGTACCTAGACAAATGTTGGTTATATTGAATGCCAAAAACCATGTACTTTGGTGAACAGTTAAATTTTAATTCAGCTCCAGTTGCCATCATGATGTTTGAATGATGAAATCTACATGGTCAATTTGTTTTATCGGATTCTATCGGATATAATTCTTTCTCTGTCATTATCATCTGGCTTGTGTTATGTTTCATTGTATTTGCTGTTTTGAGAATGAAATTGAAATGATGGAATACTCTTTTTGTACCCAAAGTTTCATGGATGCCCTGAACATCACGCAGCATGCAAGCAAGAAACCTTCAGAGCTGTCAGGGGGCACCAAGAGAAAGGTTAGTCTATGTAAAAGACCCTGGCTAAAGCCTGGGTCTATGATATGTAGGCAGATTCGGCAATTAATTATGCAAAAAGACTGCATTGTCACCTCGAGATTCTGACCAATCAGCGGACGCGTTCTATACCCGTCGTCGCGTCATAGACATCCAAAAATAAAACCCAGACACAACATCCATTATTCTTTTGGCTTCAGTCACGCGCTCTGTATTATGTTAAGCAATACGCGCCAACCTTAGAGCCAAATAGATCTCGATGCCCGGCCTGGCGCCGTTGTTGTATTGCAAAAACACTGCATCCGAATTGACCAATCAAACATTTAGTCCAGATTTGGGAATGACATGACATCGTGATTTTGTAAAGTCAACTCCGATTGGCTGGTGCGCGGTGTCGCAAAAATTTGCATTCCTTGATATATGAGATGTTCTTTTGGAGAAAGGGCTTCTCGGAGAACGGGTGATATTCAGACTAGAGAAAGGTATGATGCCTAGCTAGGAAATTGAGGAGTTTGTCAAAGAAAAATTTGAAAGTTGATATTCCTTTTGGAATGCTCAAACACTTGAACCAACACACAAATTTCACTCATTGGCTTACTGCCATGTACTGACGCAGCAGCAAATCTCCGTACAAAAGACAGTTTACAACAGCAAAACATCCAAAATTCTGGCAACTTTTGTGGTGCTGAAATAAATGTTAACACAGAGGTTTCTGCCTGAAATGCAGAGGTGGTAGCAAGTCATTTTTTACAAGTCCAAGTCAAGTCACAAGTCTTTTTTTGCAAGTCCAAGTCAAGTCACAAGTCATTAGGTCCAGTCACAAGTCAAGTCACAAGTCATTAGGTCCAGTCACAAGTCAAGTCACAAGTCATTTGGTCTAAAAACAAGTCAAGTCACAAGTATCTTTGTCCAAGAACACGTCAAGTTGCACATTATTTTGTCCAGCTGTAATAAGCTAAAGAATTAACCTGGCGTGAACTTACGAGTTATTTTGAACATGCCTCCTTAATTCCCCTTTTTCAATGTGTTGCAATTACTATTCTTGTAGTTTATCACATGTCTGTCGGATATTAGCCCTTTGTATACTTTAATAAATATACTTTACATTGTAGAAATAAATGTTGAGATGACCTTGAAAAAGACTTCCTCACTCGATTACATGTAGTATATTAACACTTTATTGTTCATTTTTCATGTATACTAAACGCCTACCAATGGGTTAGGCTATCCGGTAGTTTACATGCAATTGACAAAGGCCTGCTTTCTTTTTATGACAGGTTCCTTTCAAAGTTTGTTCAACCAATACATTAAGCAAGAGACAATTGGTCATTGAAAACTGTAGTTTGTTGTGACAGTCTTATTGAAAACTTTTGAAACTAGTGGGAACTATTCATTTTACTGGATTCAGTCACTGAGGTCTATTTTATGGAATGAAAAAGCTGATTAAAAGTATAATAGCTTAATTAAAGTGTATTGGTGGCTCAAGTAGCGTCTGACTTGGGTTGGTAACAAGTAATTTTTTGCAATCCCAAGTCAAGTCACAAGTCATTGTTTGCAAGTCCAAGTCAAGTCACAAGTCAAAGCTGGTATTTACAAGTCAAGTCACAAGTCACAAAAATAGCGACTCGAGTCCGACTCAAGTCCAAGTCACATGACTCGAGTCAGCAACTCTGCTGAAATGACGTCACACTTTTGCTCAAGAATTTGGAAATTTGCATTAGAACTGAAACAAAAAGGCACCAATTACCCTTGAAAATGGCGACTCAAAAAATGAAAATGAGATTAAATGGGACACAGAGGTGCATTTTCAAGGATTGCATTACAAAAATTGCATGGGCCCTGTAACGATTCTGTTTTTTCTTCCATCTTGCAGCTATGTTTTGCTATCAGCATGCTGGGCAGGCCAAAGATTGTCTTTCTGGATGAGCCGTCGACCGGAATGGATCCTACCTCCAAACGTTTTGTCTGGTAAGTCGGCTCAGATATTCAGATGCTGTCAAAATCACTTGTTATAGTTTTGAATGAATTTTGTTTGCTAAGAAGTTATCTACCCCTGATTTGGAGAAATCAACTATTGGAAGGTGGCTTTAAAAAAAGTGTGCCCGCTGACACACTTTTAAAAAGATTTGACGATATTTGTTGCATACTGTGACCTCAATGTCACATGCACAAATTGTCTGTCTGAGAATTACAACCGGAGTGCGGGTTTAAGGATTGTACACAAGAGAATCTGATTCCAAATTTGAAACAGCTTTTTTTTTTAAATTGGAAACGCTAGCACCCATACCTGCTAACGAGACCAACAAATTGTGCATAGGTTTTGCATGTTTTCTCAAGATGTACAGTATCCACTGAGCTGAAACTTGAACAGGTTAATTGTCATTGGACCCTACTTAAAATATTTTTTTTGCAGTTTTGTCGCTTCAAACAAACAACTGCACAATTCGGGCGATTCACAATGCAATGCGCCACCAAGAGTTTGCAACGGAGAGTCCATTTTTCAAGTTTACGGTCGACAAAACATGGCTCTTTTGAATGAGTGTCGGTAGACAACTTGAGCTAATATGTCATAGATTGGGGCATAGCGTTCTGCGGCCTTACAAAAAACACCATATTGATAACAAGAAAAGAAATGGGCAAACAGATCCTCGAATCATACGCTTACGAAACCACCTGACCGGAAAAACTAACAATTTCAAATGTCCCGCGCTGCGACTTTGTCGACCATCTCCCACAATGCACTGGGAAAAATTAACTCTCCGTGGCAAACTCTTGGTGGCGCACTGCATTGTGAATCGACCGAATTGCAAATGATCTTGTGTACGTACTTTTGGTATATTTTTTTAAAGGGGAAAACATTTCAATGAATTTCAAGTAAATCACAATATGAATGGTTCTCCTAGGCAGTTTTGCTCGGGAAATTGATACAGTGAATAAAATGTTGTTTATCTTTGGTTTTATTTTTTTGCAGGAACACCATCATTGCGAGTTTCCGTGACGACAGAGGAGCTGTCCTGACGACACATTACATGGAGGAGGCAGACGCCGTGTGCTCCCGTGTTGGCATTATGATCTCTGGCAGGTTAATGTGAGTAGCATTCGGGAAAAAATAGTTCTGTGTTCTCAACCCTTTATCAGGATGAGGGACGTTCAACTTATCTAGTGTTCCCAATCGAAATGGGGAACAGCTATTGTTTTTGTTAATTTGTTTTTCTTTTCTTTTTTCTTTTTCCACTTTTCCTATAGACTTTGTACACGTTTTTATTCTACAAGACCCTAGACCCTAATGGTCATATCTCATTAATTATGAAGCTGATGGGGTTTATACCTTATAGTATTAGAAACAATATTCAAAGTTTACTAAATTGCATTATTATTACTGTGCAGTTTATTGTACTTATGTTATGACGTCATGAATATTTAATGAGGCAATTTCATGGTCACCATATCTCAACAATACGATAAGTTAGGATTCCAGTTTTTTGCACATTTCCTCATATCAGTCTGAAAATGCACCTCTTGGAACGCCCAGGTCATGTGACCCTTACTACATATTACTACATTGTATCACATTGTACTAAAAGGCTCATGCAATGTAATTTTTTTTAATGCTGTCCTTGAAAATGCACCTTTGTGTCCCATTCAACCTTACTTTCGTCTTGCCATTTTCAAGGGTATTTTGGTGCCTTTTTGGTTTTTATGCTAATGCAAATTTCCATATTCATGAGAAAAAGTGTGATGTCGGTTCAGGCACAAACCTGTGTTACAGCTATTTCAGCACCAAAAGTTGCCAGAAATTTGGATATTTTGCTGTTGTGCATTTTCTTTTCTTTGGTGATTTGTTGAAATACGGCAGTAAAGCCAATGAGCAAATTTTTCTCACAATTGTTTTCAACGAGCAGATTTTTTTGGTTCACAAGTGAACAGAAAACCCCTAAACTGAACAGTGTCTTCCTGATATGGCATCACAGCAACAACGCCCTCAGTTGTCCAGAAAAGCATGGAAAATTGTTCATGTTTAAAGAAGTGCATCTTTGAATAAAATTAACCAAAAAGGGGATGTCAAATAGTTTTCATACATTTAAGAGGAGTAGAAAGTTGCGCAAAATGTGTTCCTCAGAATAATTCATTTCACGGACACTTTAATTTCTAGATGAATCCTGATAAAAGCAAACAATGCTGGGGCGGTTTTTCGCAGTACGGGGAGAGATTAAAAGGCAGGGCGGTTTAGGGCAATACAAGGAATAATTAGCTCCTCAATTTGCCGAGAATGACCGAGCTTCCTTGGTCTTTTGTCAGGTGCTTGGGTACGACCCAGCATCTTAAGGGCAAGTACGGAGGCGGCTACCTGCTAGAAGCCAAGCTCAACCCTGGAGAGGCCTACTACTCCATGGACCACACCACGGGGGAAGCCACACGGCTGCTGGAGCAGAAGATGCAGGCATTGGACGACAAAATCCACCATGTGTTTCCCTCGGCGGAGTCAGTTGAGAGCTTCGGGGAGCGGGTGACTTACAAGATTCCCAAAGAGGATGTCGGATCGCTGGCGAGGGTCTTCGCTGCCTTGGAAGAAGGTAGGTGCATCATTGTGGGCGGGGCTTAGATAACTAGGAAAGAGAGGCGGGGAGATTGATACAGGCCTTTCTTTTGACCTAAGCCTTGCTTGGCTAAGTCGCATAAAGGTATGTTAGGGGGAGGTGAGAGAAGACCAACCTCGTCCCCAGTACTTACTTTATTTTTAACCTTGTTTCCAATAGTAAGCCCTGGATAGGAAACTTTCTTCCTGATTTGATACCGCAATTGGCAAGTAATGGATAATGTATCGTGTACTTGGTGTTATTTCCAACATGCATTACGTGATTTCACGTTCATTTTAATTATTACGTCCACACCTTCCCCAAAATACTCCTTTCCTTTCCAATTTGCTCATATTAATATGAATGTGATACTGCATAATGGCTGGAGAAGATTGCAACATTTAAATTTTGGAGAAATTTTTTTTGTTTACGTAACTCACGCCGTGATAAATTGATTGTTTTTACCCCAGAGACTGCATACAAAATAAATACTAACGTAAAGCACAGGCAGGCGCCAGACTATTCCTAATTTGCATACATGTCCTGAACATTTTGGACATGCAAAATAATGATCCAATACCAGGATGAGAGAGCAGGTAGTGGTGGGCGCATACTGCTCGACACCCCTGGGGACGAGGTTGGGAGAAGACAGATACAGATCTGTCTTGTAACCTTTGACCTCAGCTTTGATTGAAAAATGTGCATAAAGAATCATTTTTGATTGGGTTCGTTTCAGGCAAAGAGACGTTAAACATTGAGGAATACAGCTTCAGCCAAGCCACCCTAGAACAGGTAGGGTAAAATTTGTTGTTAACATTTCCTCCGGTACAATATGTCTACTCTACTACAGGGGAACGCCGCTATAACGAACATCGCGGGATCCACAGAAAATGTTCATAATAGTGATCCTTCGGTATAGCGATTTTAAAGGGAAAATACAACATTTGCAAACATCAAAAAATAAAACTACCAAATCATTTTGAAATACCTTGCTGGACTGTTAGTGAATGACAGTGTAAAGCATCCTGTAAAATCATGGCACCTGGTATACTGTCATTTTCAAGAAAAGTGGTATTTTTGTATCAATTTCCAACGCTGATCGACCGATCAGCGTTGGAAAAAACTGGCTTTTTTTCAAATACTGGCCACAATTGACCATCGCACTTGTTTGCAATCGATTACAAACCTATGAACGGGTACGAGCCAGCTAGACTGGTTCCCTGACCTTACAATTCCCCAATGTATGTAAACTGCTCTGTTTCTTCTTATATGGAGTCAGGGAACCAGACTACAGGAAAATGATTGTTTTTCTTGGTTTTTATAGCGTTTTCGAACCCAAAACCTCAAAAAGGTCAGTGTAACTATATTTGCTATATATTTCAAACCCCCCAATTCCATCCATTTCTGAAAATTACAGCAAAAGCAAATGATGTATATTCCCTTTAAGTTGCAGGTGCTCTGGTACTCACTTTTCAATAAATAGCGCCCTTCATAACTTCACCCTGCACGCCCTGGTAGTTACTGAAAGACGACTTCGAACACGTGCCGACTATTGAATTATGTAATTACACAGTTTTGAGTTTACTACCTACATCGATGTGGTGGCTTTCTCTTTCTATGCCTTGGGGAAATAATAGCCACTTGTCACTCTTCTGTTGAAGGTTTTCAACAACAATGTTAGGTTTGTTTTGTACACAAAAGTCGGGAGCCAAGGACGATGTTTGTTATAGCCGAATGTTCGGTATAGCGACATTCCACTGTGTATGTCTAATTCATTGAACCTTACCCTTTTAGGGTTATTTTGGCTAGAAACGCAGCAACATACATACAGCAACATATTTGTGAAATATTACAAGCCTGCAAGATCCATCCGGGCAAAAATCTCAGGGCAAAACTGCCTCAGAGTCCGTGGTCACCAACTGCAGCAGCAGGGCACAAGTAATGAAACACCTCCTTTCGTCTTTTGTTTACTGTTAATTAGGACAGAATGACGTAGCCCCTTGAGACAATATGTATATCAAAAGAAAGATACTTCCAAGCTCTATCAATTACCTGAAAAATCCGAATTTGGCCTTTTGACCCATTTTTCGCCCTTATGACCTTCTTCCAGGCATCCGACGAATTACTCTTACAGATCATTTGTATTTGTATCAGAAGTTGGCTGGAAAATTGTACCCTTTACGATTTTCAGCAAATATCCCGGCCCGGGTTGTCAAGCAGATTCTCTTATTTTGTTCATTTCCCAGGTTTTCATTGAGTTTGCCAAGATGCAACGTGACGATGACCAGCCTTATCAGCGGCATCATCAAGTAGCATGGAACAACGCAGACCCGCACGTTGTGGTGGCATAGGTGTACACTTCTACTAGGATTTTGATAGACCAACGTATATGTGGAGTGCCTTGGTGCAGTGATTACTGTGTCCAACTCATGGAACCTGGTACTTGTGTTCTCGGGCAAGACACTTTACTACAATCGCCTCTCTCCACCCAGGAGAATAAATGGGTGCCTGTGAGGGTAGTGACCAGATTGTGCTGATCTCGAGCTGCTGCAAAAATTGGTCTCATGGCCTGATGAACGGGGAAATGATTGAAGAGAGCTTCAAGACTTTGGTATAAAGCGCTATATAAGCAACACATTATTATTAGTAGTAGTAATATATTACTAACAGCTCGAATAGGGTGACAGTTTGTTATTAAATCTGCTCTAATAGGGTGACACACCTTATTAGAGCCACACATAACATGTCGCCCTATTATGAACACTGCCATTTTGCCCCATTCTGACAAGAGTTTTTCATTTTCGCACTGGTTTCATGTACAGTGAGTCCTGTATTGTCAGAGCAGGTTTGGACGCACAAAGATATGTGCCTGTGTCCCTAGGCATGACACTTTACCCAACTCACTGGAGTCCAATTTGAAGTGTTTCGCACTAGGTACATGTACAGTCCTGTATTGTCAGAGCAGGTTTGGATGCACAAAGATATGTGCCTGTGTCCCTAGGCATGACACTTTACCCAACTCACTGGAGTCCAATTTGAAGTGTTTCACATTGGTTACATGTACAGTACTGTATTGTCAGAGCAGGTTTGGATGCACAAAGATATGTGCCTGTGTCCCTAGGCATGACACTTTACCCAACTTACTGGGGTTCAATTTGAAAAGAAAGAGTTGTCAAGTTGCCATTATTGGATAGAAAGAGTTGTGAATTGCCATTGTGCATTGTCTTTCGACTGGAACTTTACTGTAAGTAAGAGAAACTAAACTAGCATAACCTGTTTTGGAAAAAAAAACCTACTTTGTAAAAGTATTTCTGACTATAAAATATTATGTAGCTTATGTGATATGCCAGTGAACATGAGCGTAGATTTCTTTCTCAGTGTGTTTCGGTACATATATTTAATATTGACAAAAACATAGTTTTATCGGCTGGTGTTCTGTATTGGCAGTTTTGGAATGACGTAAGTTCCTACTAAGAACCGTCTTGAAAAAGCTTCTTGCAATTTATATATTTGAATATCAGAATATATGAATATGTTTGGTTCTTACTTAGAATAGTCTTGGTGTTTTTTTGGTGAAGCAGCTTTCAGTTTATATGTTTGAATATTACTGTACTTATGAGCAATCCAATTTTTATTTAGTTATTTGGGAAATATATTCCATTATTTTGAACAGTTTTCAAGTAGCTTGTGTCAGCACTAGGCTGAATCCAAGGCAGACATTTGAAAAAGCTAATTTCAATGTATATGCAGAAGTCAGAATATCAATAATATAAGTTAAAAAAAAAATACACATTTTATGCTTTTATCGTTGCCCAAAGTAAATGCGTATGAAATACCTAAAAACTTTCTTAGACATTTTATCAATATGTATATATGGATGATGAAAAAGTGCAAGTATTGTTAAACTTGTTGCATCTTGTCTTGGAAGGTATCAATATTAAGTATACATAATGTTGTTGACAAACAGCTTGATTTTGAACGGTTCAAAAGCAGAAAGTATACATGTAGATCAATTTATGCAAAAAGAATTGATGTAAATTTTGCAACTGATATGAAATTGAAGTATTTTAAGTGATACAAAAGTACATATAGTACATATAATGGAATTAATCAGGAAAAAACTGTTTATGTATATTTCTGCGAGCATAATGATTATTATAACTGCTGCCCAAGAAATGATACACAAAGTGCAATTCATGAAGAACTTTATGTATAATTTGCAACTGAAATGAAATGGAAATATTTTTTACTTAAGTGATAAAAAGTACTTGTAGCACAGATGATTGAGTAATATCGGAAAAATAAGCAGTTGATATATATTTTGTAATCGTAATGATCTTTGATATATATATATTTTGTAATCCCAATGATCATACTTTTTTTAATGACATCAACTTTCACACGGGAATAATGGAATTATTGTGTATTGGAAAATTAAAGAGTTGGTGTGTATTTTGCAAGTTCAATGCTCCATCTTGAAGATTGTACAGTTCTCGAAAAACAGTGTTCTATAAAAAAATACTTCTTCTCTTAGAGAACTTGGTTTATTTTACATCCAATTAGCAGATACTAGTTCTGTTTGCTTCAACCGGGCAACGAATAACTGACCGTTAATAGGATGCCCGTTTCCAATTTCGTTGGTTCCATAACTAAAATGATTTTGACTTTGTGTTTTCCAAACCCAACACTCCTTAGTACGGTTTTTAAATTTCAGCTCGAAAAAGAATTAATCTATGTTTTTAGATTGCTATTTTTCCAGTAAACTCAAATACCTTTTATTTTCAACCGTTAAAAGGGTTGTTTAGTTCTTTTAACTGTTCAGTACTTTTTAGGTTATCTTTTGCCTCAAGGTACAGGTACGCCCTGCGACTAGACTGCTTTTTGTTCTAGTCCTTGAACAACAAATAAGCTAAATCGTACTGTAAAGCACGAACCGTAGATTCGGATCATATTCTCGACCAGATTTACTCTCGATCTCGCGTGTGAATCAAATACATGAGAACCCTCGTAACTGGGGTGCCGGGCGACATAAGTCGCCGATAGTTTCCCCATAGACAATGCGTGTACGGGACCTCATTGAGCCGTTTTAACAAGTGAAAATGTGTCCCTTGCAAATAAGCTTTTGCCTGCGGCGTGATTCGTACATGCACGTGTGGCATCGAGGACGTTAGAAATGGTCTCCATAAAGCTGATAATATACAAAGTATGTGTTCCGCCATTCTCATAGACAATGTACAGCATGCGAAGCGTGTGTGCGCGATATATGAAAACGCATAAATGACCATTTTTGTCCCGCACACTTTTCATATACTGCGTGTGGAAATATGATTGTTACGAACGGTCCTCATAAGGCTGGTTATATACAAAGAGTGTGTGTCTCACCAATCCCATAGACAATGTAAGCATGCGAAGTGTGTGTCCGCGACATATGAAAACGTATAAATGACCATTTTTGTGCCGCACACTATTCATATACTGCGTGTGGAATTATGATTGTTACAAACGGTCTCCATAAGGCTGATAATATACAAAGTATGTGTTCCGCCATTCTCATAGACAGTGTACAGCATGCGACGTGTGTGTATTTGACATTTGAAAACGCATAAATGAGCATTTTTGTCCCACACACTATTCGTATACTGCGTGTGGAATTATGATTGCTACAAACGGTCCCCATAAGGCTGGTTATATACAAAGTGTGTGTTTCGCACACACTTAGCATGCTGTATTTATGGGATTGGTGCTCGACATATGAAAACGCATAAATGACTATTTTTGTCCCGCACACTATTCATATACTGCGTGTGGGATAATGATTGCTACAAACGGTCCCCATAAGGCTGGTTATATACAAAGTGTATGTGTTTCGCCATTCTCATAGACAATGTACTGCATGCGAAGTGTGTGTATGCGACATATGAAAACGCATAAATGACCATTTTTGTCCCGCACACTGTTCATATACTGCGTGTGGTATTATGATTGCTACAAACGGTCCCCATAAGGCTGGTTATATACAAAGTGTGTATATTCCGCCAATTGTATAGAAATGTACAGCATGCGAAGTGTGTGTTGTGGACATTTGAAAACGCATAAATGACAATTTTTGTGCCGCAAACTGTATTCATATAGTGCGTGTGGAATAAATAATTATGATTGTTACAAACGGTCTCCATAAGGCAGGTTATACAAAGTGTGTGTACAGTGTATGCCGTCAAATTGGCACGCAGGAACCTAGTTGGAAAATGGCCATAAGCCCGTTTCACCACGGGTTTGTCCCACAATGTGGGGACAGACAACTTTGCCATAAAGAAAGCACTGTACGCGGCAGTAAACGAGCGACTCCAGCCCGGTAAATTCGTCCCCGGCGGGAAACACTGTTTTGACTGATTCAGTGTGTGGAAACTGTACATACTGCGTGCACGATTTCTAGCTGTACAAACGGTCCCCATAAGGTCGATTTCCGTGTGTCTGTCCTGAAACACACACTCTCATTGGAAATGTGCAGCGGAAGGAGCCGTGTGTGCTTCGCCGTGCTGCGCTGTGGAGACGCAGAAACGGCTACTTTCGTGGCACAGTTGTGATCACTTGTTTCTGCACGTACGCGTTTGCAGGAAAGTGGTTATGAATGCGTTTCTCCAGGCGCGTGTCGTGGAAAGTGGGGACAGACACTTTGCCATAGAAAATGCACTGTGTTGGCGCTGACGTACGAACTCCTCAGCCAGCACATTCATTCCGAAAGGAACCTCCATTTTGCCTGATTTAGTGCGCTGGAAACGCTGCATTATGGTGTGCCATAGAGCAAGGACGGTTATGGGTGTACTAGACGTGTAGTGTACCGTATTTTGTGCAAAGGCTAGGCGAACATAATAATTACCAAAAACAAAATGTGGGTGTCAGAGCGGGGGGGGGGGGGTGGGTTCACCTCAGTTTTTCTCATGAATTTCTATGGATTTTTTTTTTTTTGACAGAGTTGACTTTTTTCCTTTTACACCCGAACCCTCCACGGATCCGTCTGCTGAACGTCGCCCCTGCCGTCGTGCGTCGCGACGTGCTACGTCCTAGGGGGATGGAAAACTGGTGACAAAAGAATGTCTCCGTCACAGTTCATTTCATTATCTTGTCACGTTATTTAGACACTAACTTTTGAATGACTTATGATTGACTAAAGTACGTAATGTTAATAAACCAGAATCAAGAACAATTGTCACCTTCCACAAGACAAATCAGATGTAATAAGAGATGCATTTTACTAATTCTGAAAATTGTGACTGAACAAAAATGGAAAAAATTTGACTTCAGAATTTGAAATTTGTCAATGTTTTGATACTTGTTCGATACGGTGCAATTTCAGCTGTTGTCCTTGGTCGATGCAGATTGTGTGGCTTTTTGGTCGAAAATAATGACCGCTGCAAAAACCTCTTTAAAGTATTTATCACCATTAATGTCAAAGTTACGAGAAGAATGTAAAACTAATGTATAAATTACATGGTAGTCTGCAAGTATTTTGTACTCGCTGCATTGTTTAGTATTTTACCTCAGTTGTTTAGGCCATTAATGTAGCTATTAATTGCAAGGATATCTGTGACTTATATTCATCTGGAATTCTATCATACTATTAAGAAGCAGCATGGTTGTCGTTATGGTCGTGTTTGTTTAATGTGTATGTTAGTTGAAAAGGTAATGACTTGATAAAATGTGAATCATGACTTTTGTGTTGGAATAATTGGATTTTTGTCTGACCGACAGAGGTCGCTATAACCTTTGGTTGCAAACAAAAAGTGAATAATTATGTCCACGAACAGAATGTATGTTGCTTTAAATTTGATACGGCAATGACAAATTTTCTTTTGAGTTTGATGACATATCTCCTGATGACATATCTAACGTATTCTGTATCATGTCTACCCAAAATAAGCAAATGAATGGATGAATATGTTAATGTATTGCTTGCATTTTTGTGAAATATGCGTAAGTTTTGTTTTGTTTGCATTAGGAGGATTATTTACTGCTCAGTGTCTGTAAAGTATCTGTCGTTTATGTAAATAATAAATTATGCATTGAGAAACATTTCAAATGTACTTTGAGTAATTTTTGGTCTCCTGTTTAATATTAAAATGATGTCTTTGCCCAACATTTCTCACTCATTAAGAGTGTCGAAAAGACCCCCCCCCCCCCCCCAAAGAAACTCTTTGATTTCGGGAGCAAACAAAATCAGGCATCTTTAGAAAATTCCAAATGTATGGGTTTTTTTTTACAAAAAAAAGTGTCATAGCTGGGAATCGAACCTCGGTCGCCGGGTTGGGAATCCAGTGCTGTACCACTCAAGCAAAACCACCCTTATTCAATACGGTGTTGGGCATAACTATAACCGTGTAAGATATAGGCTTATGTAGCTTTACACGTTGCCCATATGTACGCTTAGACGTAACGTACAGTCTGATAACGTTAACACGAGTTTGATTCCGACGTTCCAGTCAATAAAAACTGATTCACTTGATCAGAATTTGATTGCAAATAAGTAGAGGGTGTAAACTGAATTATAATCGTGAAAGTCTACGCACTCAACAGGTTCAATACGTGTTTTCTACACGAAACACACGTGTTCAGCGGATGCAGGGAAGGCCATTTCTTTTGTTAATTTCTTTTGTTGAATCTGGCGTTAACAATAAAATGTTTCCATTGAGGCGAAAGGATTAAACGCCGCGATCTTTTTTCACCCTTGAGTGCCTCTGAATGGGGAATATTGAAGCGGAAAATCACAAAATACAGCACTTAGGCAGCGTTTTATCCCACATAATGATACTTTTTGAAGAGGAAATTACATACTGAAAACAACCATAGTTTCAAAATGCAAAAATTCGCCGTATTTAAAAAGTCGAGGTAAATTTTTTGGAAAAATTTGACCCAAACTTTCCTCTTTCTAACGTAGGTGGCGCTATTTAAAATTTATTTCACATACTGCATGCACTAGTACGATCGACCGGCCGGCCACAAGGGATCGGAGGCGGGACACTTCTTTGGGGGGGGGGGGGGGGGGCAGAGGCGGTGTTAAGCCCCAGACATTAATTCATATTTTAATACAATATGACAATATATGCCTGGGGCAAACAAAAAATTGGCTGTCCTTGTCTGTAATTATAATAGTGGCTGATGGACATGCTCATGGCGGGGGATGTTTATCATTTGTTGTATTGGCATGGTATGTAGCCCCCTTCAAAATAACAATAAGTACCACTGATTATTTGTTTTCCCCAGGCATATATATTATTATATTGCATTAAATTATGAATTAATATCTTCAGTTCCTTATCCCCCCTCCCCCTTTGTTCCCTCCCCCTTTGTTCCCAACAGAAAAAAAACCCGCCTCCCCTTTGACAATAACGGTCGCCCCCAGCGGTACAAGCGTTATACCGCTAGGGCGACAATAGTGGTCGCCCCCAGCGGTACGCGCGTTAATGTATAC